TTTAAAATTCATGTGAAATTGTAAAGGACCCAGAATAGCCAAAACATTCTTGAAATGGGAGTCACACTTCTCAATTTTAAAACTTACCTAAGCAATAGCAATCAAGTCAGTGTAGTACTAGCATAAGGATAGACAGATAAATCAATGAAATAGAATTGATAGTTTAGAATACCCAAGGGTCTATCTTTAGTCAGCTGATAGTCAATAAGGCTGTTAAGATCACTCAGTGATAGAAGAATTGTCTTCACAACGAATGATGCTGGGATACCTAGATAAAGTGAAGTTGGATCTTTACCTCACCATCTACAAAAATTAACTCAAAATGAATCAAACAGCTAAATGGAAGGGCTAACATAAAAAATAGACGGTAAACCTTAATGACCTTGGATTAGGATAAGCATCTTAGATATGGCACCAAAAGCACAAACAATAGAGAAATGAAAAGTTGTGCTGTAATTGTAAAATGAATCAAAATACATTCTGCTGTCATGTATACCTAATTGAGATAAATTAATTAATAATAAACAATAATTATAATAAATAATAATAAATTAATAATAAATAAAATTTTAAAAAAAGAGCTAGGGGTATGGCTCAGTGGTAAAGCACCCCCTGGTTCAATCCCCAGCCCCAGCCCCTGAATCATGAGGAGTGTATCTCATTCTTCTAGAATTTTGTTTTTGTGTGTATTTTATAATGTGATCCTGTTAGTATGGTGGTATATGCATATCATATTTACATGTGTAACTTATAAGTTAATTAAGACATTTATTGAGATGTATGCTCAAAAATTTACTACTGGCAAGATGCATTTAAAATTTTTGTAAAAGATATATTGAGTTTCAAAAAAAGAAGTCCTGTGATTTGGCAGCAGATAAATTGGTATAATATAAAATAAATCTTAAATTTTTAAAAAAAAGCACAAGCAATACAATAAACAAATTGAACATCTCAAAATTAAAAATTTTTGTGCTTCCACTGACTATTAAAGAGGAAAGACAAGAGAATAGGAAAAAATTGCAGATCTTATATCTGATAAGGGACTTATATAACTCAGAATTTATAAGAATTCATATGACTGAAGAGACAAATAATTCTTTAAAATATGGACAGTGGATCTGATTGAACATTTCTCCAAGCAAGATATTTAAGTGGTAAATTTATACATGAAAAGATGCACAACACCATTATTTGTCAGGGAAATGCAAATCAAAACAATGAGATACCACTTCACACCCACTAGATTTAAAAAGTCTGGATAATAAGTATTGATGGGAATGTAGAGAATCTAGAATCCTAGTATACTGCTTATGATAATGTAAAAGGTACAAATGTAAAGTAAATGGTACTTTGGAAAATCGTTTATCAGTTCCTCAAACTGTAACACATAGACTTACCATATGATCAACTCCTAGGCATATACCCAAGGAAAATGAAAGCATATATCCAAACAAAAACATGTATATGAATGAATCTAGCAGCATTATTCATAATATTCAAAAAATGGAGCCAGATGTCTACCACCTGGAAAATGGACTTTTAAAACATGAAATATCCATTAGTGGAATATTATTTGGCAATAAAAAAAAACAAAGTGTTGATACATATGACAGTATGGATGAACTTTAAAAACACATAAATTGAAAAAAATCAGTGCCAAGTGATTATATATTTTATGACTTCATTTATTTGAAATGTCCAAAATAGGCAAATCTATAAAGATAGTGTAATTATTATCAGTGGTTCCTTAAGGTTGAATGTAATGGTGGATAGGGTAATGAAAGTAAAGGTTATGGAGTTTTGTTTTGAGGTGATGAAAATGTTTAAAATTGACTGGAGTGATGGCTGCTTATATTTGTGAATGTATTAGCTATAAAATTGCTTTGTGGGTGAATAATATGGTATATGAATCATATATTATAAAGCTGTTTAGGAGAAAAACAACTTAGAATCCAACACAATAAATTTAAAAAGCCACATCAAGATGTATAATCATGAAATTTTGAAATACTGAGTATAAAGAGACAGTATTAAAGAAAATAAAAAATCACCTATTTGTTGGAATTGGAATGACATCAGGACTATCCACAGTTCCCTGGAAGATAGTAGAGAAATGTCTTCATAATTTTGAATTAAAAATTATTTGTGGGGCTGGGGCTGGGGCTCAGCGGTAGAGTGCTTGCCTGGCACATGCGAGGTGCTGGGTTCAATCCTCAGCACCACATAAAAATAAATAAAATAAAGATATTATGTCCAACTACAACTAAAAACAAATATTTAAAAATTATTTGCAATATAAACTTCCATTACTAATCAAACTATCAATCAAGTGAGATAGTGGAGAAAAAAATACCTTCATATATTGAGAATCTCAAAAGTTTACCTATCAGTATTCTTCAGGAAACCTTAGAGGGATATCTTCTACCGAAGAGAGGGCTTAAGAAGGAAAAGGAAGACATGGAGTCCAAGAAGGAGGGAATACAACACAGAAGAGAGATAAAAGGAGGTTTAGGATGTATGTCATATTTACAGAGCAAGCAATCTGTACAGGACAGAGCTTCAGAGGAGATGTTTCTGAGGCCTGGGGGACAAGGAAGAATAAAATATATATTGGCCAAGTCTGGGGGGGAGTTGAGTAATAAAATAGTAATAGGTACATATAAAACTCTGCAAATGAAAATTAAGACACTTATTAATACCAAGGAAAACCAGGAGTTGTATAAGACAACTTTCTTATACAATAAAATTGTATAAGAAAGGAAGTAAGTTAATTATCCTACACTTGGTTCTGATATGTTAACCCTGAAAATAGTATAGAAATATGTTGATAAATACCAGGAGCATCTCAGGGAGTTGAAAGCAATTGTCTTTAGGAATTTAGGCAACTACTGTTTTTAATTATCAGCCTGTTGTCTTCTTAACTTTCAAAATAAGTATATATATTTGATTAAAAATTATATGTAAGAAGAAAAAGAAGGGCTGAGGATGTAGTTCAGTGTCAGAGCACTTGGCTAGCATGCTGCAGGCCCTGGTTTCAATCCAGCACCACCAAAAACAAAACAAACAAAAAAAGCAGGGGAGGAAGAAAAAGAAGAGATAGTGCTAAAAGTGGGCTTGTCTTATGGCCAGGCAACATAGGCAAAATCCAATATGTCCTAGACAATGAGTTAAGTTCAAAGAAATCTTACACTGTAAGAAAAGAAGTAAAATGTGGAGGACTATATACTATAAACAGTGGAGATCTCTAACTTTAGGGGTATGCAAAGTGGGGGCAGAAAGCAAGCTGCTGGAATAGAGAGAGAACGTAAGTGACAAGTAAGAAAGTTTATTGTAGAGTATAAGAAGTAGAATTTCTCAAAGCATTAGTGCTCAGAAGCTTCAGAGAAGCCTGTAGATTGGGATACTCTTAACTGGATTTTGGCAGTTATGAAGTTGTTCTTTTTTGTTGTTGTTGTTGTTGTTCCAGGGATTGAACCCAGGGCACTTAACCACTGAGCTACATCCTCAGCCCTTTTAATACTTTATTAAGAAACAGGGTTTCACTGAGTTACTTAGGGCCTTGCTAAGGCTGAGGCTGGTTTTGAACTTGTGATCCTCCTGCCTCAGCCTCCCAAGACGCTGGGATTACAGGTGTATGCCACCTCACCCAGCAGGAAGTTGTTCTTTTTGAGAGAGAGATTGCAATTTATTAATGGTCCACAACTTGGGGATGATTGTCCACATCCCTAACCCACATGACTTTTGAGAATGTTTGGAGGCATTTGGGGAGGAATACTTCTGGTATCTAGTGAGTAGAGGCCAGGGACCCAAAATGCACAGGACAGCCCAATGACAATTATCTGACCCAGTATGTCAGTAGTAAGGTTGAGAAACCCTGCTGTAGATTAGGGAAAGGTAAGAAAGGGAGAATTTGCTGCAACTGCTCATTCAAAGTAATGTAAAAGCATCATCTCATTTGAAGGTAGTGATTATGTACTATTTTCTTGAGAAATTAAAAAATAAAGCAGCTAGCTTGAAAGGGAAGAAAGTAGAAAGAAATAGCAAAATGCATAGCTCAATGCCTGCACATAGTATTTTTTTAACTTTTTAGTTGTAGATGGACACAATATCTTTATTTTGTTTTTATTTATTTTTATGTGGTGCTAAGGATCAAACCCAGTGCCTCACACATGGGAGGCAAGCACTCTACTTCTGAGCCACAACCCCAGGCCCGAGGCACATAGTATTTAATAAATATTATTGCTTTTATTATTAACAATAGGTGTTAATTAAGAAGTCATTAAGTTCATTAACAGATGTTCATTAAGTGCTAGTTAGTATAAGAGAAAAACAATACAAATAGCATATACTTTGCCTTTAAGGAGCTTACATTTTGAGGGAAAATATGAGATTTATACAAGGACCTGAAGGAAAAGATAGAAAGTAAAAATTCTCTAAAACAGTACCAGAATGGTATGAATTTTAAAAAACAGAAATTATTCCTTAAAATTTTTGAATTTATAGTTATTTATGTGCTTATCTTCCTATTAGTTTACCAACTTCTTGCAAGTAGAAAATTTTACTCATTTTTATATCCCCATAAAACTAATCATGCCATAATGAATCCTAAATGCACATAATTACTTAATGGAAGAAGGTATAAACACTTAACTTATTAAATTATAGTTACCTTTTTTTTTCCTACTAGACCAAAAACTCCACAAGAGTACAGATTGTGTTAGCTTACCCCTCCCTATATCATCCAAGACCTAACACATAATAGATAACCAAGAAATGCTGAGTGAGATCACAATCAATGTCATTAGTGGATTTTGGATACTAGTTGTCATCCCGGGGGTGGGTGGGGGTGAATATAATTGGAAAATATTTTCTAATAGTCTTCTGTTTCATGTGAGTTTAACCTATCTTTTTCCATGTTTAGAACTTTCAAATCTTACTAATGAAAGAACAGCTGAAACTTGTGTTAAAGTCCTTCTGCTTTGTTTTTCTTTTCTCTGCAGTGCTGAATTATCCCGAGGTCATTTCTGGAATGGGTTAGGCTCCCCTCCAGATTCCCCTTCCCCTGGGAGTGATGTGTACTGCAGCAGTGAGCTAAACGACCCGCAGTATGACCAGAGTCTCCTGGAGAACTTATTTTACACAGCACCTGTAAGTCATTGAACCCAAAGCTTTAGGAATAGAAGAAAACAAGTATTTTTAGTAGCTGCAGACATGATACCATGTGCCAAACAGAAAGCCTTACCTTTTAAATCATATGTTACCTTATTTAATCATAATGACAATATGAAGAGAAAAATAGTATCTTCATTTTATAGATCAGGAGACAGGCCTAATAAGATTGAGTATTTGGGGCTGGGGCTGGGGCTGGGGCTGGGGCTCAGGCTCAGCGGTAGGGCACTTGCCTGACATGTGTGAGGCACCACGTAAAATAAATAAAGGACTATCAACAACTAAAAAAAAAAAAAAAATTTTAAAGTTTAAAAAAAAAAAAAGATTGAGTATTTTGACAAGAACACATAATAAATATTAGAACCAAAATTTAGATTTCAAATTAGCCTGAATCCAAAGCCTGTGGTCTTAATAATATATTATATGACTTCCTTAGAGCACTTCTGAGGAAGAACTAAACATAGGTATACTCTCAGATCACCCTTGACCTGGTATCTATTTAAAATATTCTAGAAATACTTCTACTCACAGGTATTGAAAAATACCTCCTTTTGCCCATAAGACAGGTCACTCTCCTTTCAGGCAGATTTGTTTTTTCATAGCTCTTTCTTACATCTAGCATATTGTATATTCTATTCACTGATGTAGCATCTTCAGGAGTCTATACATAGTAAGTCTAGTCCTGTTCCACAAGTAATCATGTGTCAAGATTATTGTCATAGTCTTTATATTAGTAAATTTTTGTTACTACAACAAAATACCTGAATTAGGCTAAATTTATAAAGAAAAGGGTTTTTTTAATTTATAGTTTTAGAGACTAAAAGTAGACACAGCACAGTGTAGGTTCTGGTGAGGGCCCTTCTTGGCTACATCATCTCATAGCAGATGGCAGTGAAGGGAGCATATATGAGAAGAAAAGATCACATTACCAAACAGAAAATCAAGAGACAGGTATCCCACAATATCTTCTGCAGGCTTGCCCCTAATCTAAGGACCTCTCATGAGGCCTCACGTAAAAGTTTCTACCTCCCAACAATTCTACCTCCATTTTCCATACTGAAAGTACAAGCTTCCAATACATGAACCTTAAGGCACACACTCAAACCACATCCAAACATAGGAAGCCTGACTTTCCTTTTTTCAAGATCAGAAAAAGATAACTGAAATACAAGGTAAGGGGTACTAACTCAGTTGTAAGATACTGAGGGCTCCCAGGATTCAAAAGAGGTAGGAAGAACTTTTACATGAGATTGTCAGGCCTAAAGGGTTTTAATTGAGACTTGAAAGAATGGCCTAAGTAGAAAACACATACTTGGGCTGGGGATATGGCTTAAGCGGTAGCGCACTCGCCTGGCATGCACAGGGCGCTGGGTTCAATCCTCAGCACCACATAAAAATAAAATAAAGATGTTGTGTCCACCGAGAACTAAAAAATAAATATTAAAAAAAAAAAGAAAACACATACTTATTTACTTCAGAGGATCCAACTTAACTAGATGAGAATTCGTATAGAGGGGTTGAGGAACATAAATCCGTAGTAGAATATCTGCCTAGCATACATGAGGCCCTGAGTTTGATCCCCAACACCCTGGGGGAAAAAATAAAGGAGAAAGAGAGAAAGAAAGGAATATGTGTAGAAAAAAAGTTGATAAGGCAGGTTAGCACACTGTAGCCAATGTGAAAGCCTTTGAATGTCAAGCAAGGAAGAAATGACATGGCCAAATAGGGTTTTAGGAATCTTAATGTAGCAACCATGGAGGGAGCACACTGAGGGAGAAATGAACAGAAGCAGACAGGAAGCCATTGAGGTGTGAGAGAGAGCCAGAATGAGAGTGGCAGTGGCAGCAGTGGAAATGGGAAGGAGGAGATGCAGTTGAAAGGCATTATGAATTGTTAAGATTTCATGACCTCCTCGGTTACCAGTCATTATTGATGCTATGTTACCTATGAGCCAAAGAGGAAAAGAGTTATTTTTTACACATTTATTATTTATTACCCATTTTCTGTGTCAGGTCTTTACATATTATCTATCATTTATTGAGAACTATACCAAATATTTTAAATCTATTGTTTAATTAATTCTTTTATTAGCCCCGTGAGATGGTATTCTCTTTATTTTACGTATCATAAGCTTTGAGAGGTTAAGTACTAGTCATTAAGAATTCTTATCCTAGTCTGTCTGGCACAAAGCTAGACCACACTTTTTTTTTTTTTTTCTGCTAGACCATACTGTCTCATAAGTCTTGAGCAGTATAAGACTTACCTCCCTAACCTCATCTTTACTTACCTCCCTAACCTCATCTCCCACTTTCCCTTTACCAATTGGAGACTCTAGCTAGAATCTCATCCCATTCTTCAAACTTTCTAGCTCTTCTTGTGTCTCCATATTTTTTGTTGGTATTAAACCTTCTACTGTGAATGCTGAAATAGCCTTACCCATCTGGTAAACTTCATTCTTTAAGAATCAACTCATCACCTCTTTGCAGAAACCTTCCAGACTCCCCTGAACAAAATTTGTTGCCTGAATGCCCACAATATCTTACATATACTTCTGGTATAATTCTTTTTTGTTTGTTTGTTTGTTGTTTGTTGGTTTTGGTTTTGGGGTACCGGGGATTGAACTCGGGGGCACTCGACCACTGAGCCACATCCTTAGCCCTATTTTGTATCTTTTATTTATAAATAGGATCTCACTGAGTTGCTTAGTGCCTTGCTTTTGCTGAGGCTAGCTTTAAACTCATGATCAGCCTCCCAAGCTGCTGGGATTACAGGATGTGCCACGGTGCCCAGCTGATATAGCTTTTACCACATTGTTTGATATGGTGCCTCATAAACAGGGACACATCTTTATTATCTTTGTATTGCCAGTACAGCAAAGGCCTAACAGATAATGAGTACTCACTTAGTGAATACTTAGTGAAATAAATGAATGTATGAATGGTGCTAAGTAATTCCCTATGCTATTTTAACAAAATAATTTTAGAAAATGTTGGTGGAGGGGCTGAGGTTGTGGCTCAGTGGTAGAGTGCTTGCCTCACATGTGTGAGGCACTGGGTTCAATTCTCAGCACCACATGTAAATAAATGAATAAAATAAAGATCCATCAACACTAAAAAATATTTTTAAAAAAGAGAAGAAAATGTTGGTGAACTGGAAGAAAGAGAAAACCAGTTGACCATGAGGCAATGGGAAGACCCAGAAGTTAGAATACTCATGTCCTCCCCCAGAGTCAGTGTTTGATATACTTATATCAAATAACATAGAAATTCAACATTATTATCTTGTGTCTTGGGTTCCTGAAAGTTTTAGTTTTTGAACAGTCTAGTGTATATTTACTCTAATTTCTTTCAGCCTGTAAACCTATCTAGATTTTGATTGTCCTGTCAAAGACCATCTTTAAAAACCTTCCACTTAGCAGGCAGGGATGTAGCTCAGTGGCAGCGCCATTGCTGCCCATATACAAGGCCCTGTGTTTAATCCCCAGGACTATAAGTTAATTAATTAATTGATTAAAAATTAAATAGATAAAAGTTGCCACTTAAGTTGTATTTCTTTCTAGAAGAATATTCTTAGCATGCTTATTTGAATTAATCTGTTCCCTTATAGGTCAATATATGATACACCCTGAGAAGCTGAAAAATGGAAATTGAAGATGATAGGCTTAAAATGGCTTTGATTTGCTCTCCTAAATTTGTATTAACAAGCTTTATGCTTTAAAATTTGAAGCCAAATAACCATTATGTCATTCTATTTTCCATTTTGTGATAAAGAAGCTAATCGATCCGTTGCAGTAGAATCCTTTCTCACAATAAAAATCACAGGGGATTTAGCTCCTCTTAAAGAAATTTGTGAAATATAGTAAATATATTAATCTTAGCAAGATTAGAAGAAGAATGAATCATTTGTAGTATGGATAGTTAAAAATAAATAAATAAATAAATAAATAAAAGGGAGTCTTTGCATCCAGTTAGGTGACATTGTACCAGTCATTTGGTATCAAAGTATGGCAAAAATACAGACTTTGAAACCCAGGGAGATCAAAATTTGGCTTTGCTGCTTATAGCTATAGATCATAAACCAATTGCCTAACTTTTCTCAATTGTAGAAATTGGAATAAGGGTACCTCGTAAGAATGTGGTGAATATTAGAAATATACATTCAGCATTTAGCATAAAACCAAATGCATAGTGGCCAGTCAATAGATAGTGGTCAATGTTATTAAGAATTTAAAAGAAGAATTGACTTTGATTTATTTACTTTGAGCTAAACTGTAGCTTAGTTTTGTATAAGTAGGAGAAATAAGAGATTATGTCTCTACTCTCAATGTCAGTAACATAATTATGTATTTCAAGGAAGCACGCACTTACTTTTAGAGAAATGTTTTGTTACTGCTGTTCTTACAACAATCATTTTTTAGTGTCTCTCTCTGATTTTCTTCCCATAGAAATCCGATACTAGTATCAGTGATTTCCCCAGTGAAGATGATGATGTTGTCCCTTCTAAAAATATGAACCAGTCAAAAGCTCTTGGCAGATCTTCTGAAGTCCTGGAGTTAAGTGATCAGAAGCTAAAGAAGAAGGCACCAGGCAAGAAAAATAGGTGAGCTTCTCTGTGGATGTTTGATTACAGGCAAAAGCAAAGGAAGATTATTTCCATAAGATCTCCTCAAGTGATGACCTGTGTTTACCCAGCACTATCAGAATGACTGTTACAGTAACTCAGTAAACATTGTGTTCCTTAAAATTTTAATAATATGAAAAGATAGGTACAATTAAAATGGTTAAGGGAGAAAACAATACTGTATTGTATATGTACTGTGGTCACACCTATGTAGAAAAATAAGGAAAGCAAATGAGAAGGAATACACAAAAGTGACAAAAGTAGTTATATTAGGATAGTGGATAGCTAGAATAAATTTTCTGTCCTTTCTGGAAAAGAAGAGAAACTTAATTCTGTAACATCATTTTTTACACTTATGTGGAGATCAACTATTAAAAGAATTTTTTACATTTTTTGAGATTTCTTTCGTTGTAGATTAGAACCAAAATTCCGATAAAGCCATTTCCACTTATGAATTAATTTACTTATTGCCCTACCTGTTGCCTGTGAAAGCTAGTTTGTTTTCATGTTGGGTCTCTTTAACTGTCTGCATGCCCGTCTATATGATTTCCTTGTAGAAATTTGGTTGAACAACAGATGCTCTCTGAAACTCCAGAAGATACCCAAGTGACGACCTTAAGTGTGGATAGACTGGCCCTTCTGGGAAGAATACATTCAGTCAGAATGTTCATCGAAACAATGGGAGTTCCTCCAGATAGTCCCCAGGTGACCCCTGGCAAAAAAAGCCTTACTGGGAGACCACCTAAGCTAACAATAGCTAAAAAACGGTATGTCTCTAACATGAGAAGATAAGTTTGATATTTTTGGAAAATATGACTGATAACTGTATAACACTTTATGATTTGTAATGTGTTTTCATCTCCACCAGTTAATCAATATAAATGTATTGAATCCCCACTAGGTCCCAAGAACTATGCTAGGTAAGTTGGGAATAAAGAAAATTAAGAAGCAATCTCTGTTCTTATAGATCTTACAGTTAGCAAAAAAAGACAACATTTATGTATAAAATGGAATATTACTCAGCCATAGAAAAGAATGGCTTTATGACTTTTGCCAGTTAATGGTGGATCTGGAGATTATTATGATAAATGAAATAAACCAATCCCCAAAAACCAAAGGCCAAATATTCTCTATCTTATGCAGATGCTAACATACAATAAGAAAGGGAGGGGAGAATAGAAGTTCATTGGATTAGATAAAGGGGAATGAAGGGAAAGGGGGAATGGGAATAGGAAAGACAGTAGAATGAATTGGTCATAACTCCCAATGTTCACATATGAATACATGACCAGTGAAACTCCACATGATGTACAACCGCAAGACTAGAATCCTAATTAGAGTAAGTTATACTTCATGTTTGTGTAATATGTATAAGTTATACTTTTCATGTATATATCCTACTGTCATGTATATCTAAAAAAGAACAAATAAAAAAATCACTGTGTATAATAGGGCCTTAGAAATCAGAGTAGATGTTTCATATTGAAAGTGCTGTGGAAGCAAGCCTTTCATTCCACATGACCAGACTAATGAAAGATTTGAAGAAAAGAGGTACAGCTTCTGGTGATCAGAAGTCCTGAAAATAGGCTTTCCAAGATGTGTAGATTCATAAATAGAAAATAGATTTCTTATTTGTTTTTTTTTTAATCACCTTTTTTCTTTTTTTAGCACTTTCTTTGTGGAATATCACTTTCCTGTGGGTTTTTCCAAAAGTGGATTGGAAAAGACGGCTTTGATCACTGAAGTTGTTCGACTTGCCTCCAGTAAAATTACAGATGGAAGTAAGAGATAGACTGGTTTTCAGCTCCTTAAATATTTTGACTCTGAAAGAATTTTTGAACCCCTAATTACTTACCTGACTTTTGTAGTGCTATAGAATTTTAACGCTAAAAAGAATTTTGAAGTGAATCTTCTTTAACTCATTTATTTTGTAAGTGAAGAAACTGGCTCAGTGGTACACTGACTCATAATTTAACGTAGCAGGTCAGTAACATGGCTGAGACTAAAACTCAAAACATCTGATGCTTAGTTCATATTTTTCAACTGTTGACATTTTTCTTTCCTCATTTAAAACAGTTTTATAAAGATACAACTCACAAACCATACACTCATTTGACATGTATAATTTAATATATTGCAGAATTGTTTTTAATATTCACATAATCCAATTTTTCTATTTTTTTCTTGGTTGCTTGTACTTCTGTTGTTATCTTCTTTTTTATTTTGCTTTAAATATGTCTAGTATAGAAAAATAAAAGGATATTATAATAAACATGTTCCTGCAATCCAAAATTAAAACTGTTTTTTTAAATATTTTTTAGTTGTCAATGGACCTTTATTTTATTTATTTATATGCAGTGCGAAGAATCGAACCAAGTGCTTCACACATGCTAGGCAGGTGCTCTACCACAGAGCTTCCACCCTAGCCCACAAATCATTTATTTTAACATAGTTTGAGAATATCTTTGCCTTGGCTCTTCAGTTTAATCCACGAACAGTTTGTTAGTGTTAAATTTCTTCTCTGGGAGATGGTTTGAGAAACAAAAAATGTGGTTCTGTCCTCCACATTCAAGTAACTTTCCTATAATAACTTTAGATTTTTTTAAATTTTATTTTGCTTTATTTGCTTTTTGAGCTAGATAATCCATTCATGTAGTTTTTAGGTTCCATTTCTATAGGCAAACAACATTGTTGCTTTTATACGCTTCCTGGGCTATTTTTTGCATATATCAGCAAATGTGTTGATTCCTTTCTATCCCTACCCCCATTTTATGTAAGTGATAGTGATAGAGTACCATGTGCACCATTCTGCAGCTTGCCTTTGACATTATAGCTTAGGGATTTTTGCATATTGGAACATAAAGAGCTTCATCATTCCTTTAATGACTACATACTATCCCATTTTGCTGCTATGCAATAATTGAAACAGCCCTAAATATGATCAGTATTTAGTTATTTGAACAGTATTTAAGTTATTTCAACCTTTTTCTGTTAAAAATAATATTTTATGTGCATAATTTCTCACTTGGCGTAAGTATATCTAATATGAATATTTAAAATAAACACTTATTTAGCCTTAAAGTAATATAATATACTCTTTTACTAAGCCACATTATTTCACCCTCCCCATCACCTTAAGGAGAATTAGGGCATTTCAAATTTGTCTTCTGCTTGCTTTCTGGCTGTATCCTTTTATTAACAGCAGTAGAAGCTGTCCTGGGGGTTTGTTCAGAGCACGCAAGCCTGTATAAATAATTCTGTTGACTAAAAGTATGCATGTTTATTGTGGCTAAACTATTTTTGTTGTTGTTGTTGTTATTTATTTATTTACTTACTTACTTATTTATTGTGATGCTGGAGATTGAACCCAGGGCCTCGTGCATGCAAGGCAAGTAGTCTAACAACTCAAGTGTTTTTTATCAAACCTCCATATGCAAAGAAAAATGTTGAAACCTTTTCTCAGGGCTTTTCCTTCTACTTCATTCCACTTAAATAACATTTTATGAATTTCTTAAATTTTCTCTGAACCTTGATTTCCCCATCTATAAAATTGAAATATATCAGTTCTCATTTTGCTTCTATAGTGTTCATTGAAATTCATGCCAGTTGAAATTGAGTTCTCAGTTGCCATAGAACCATGCAAAAGCAAGGACACCACTCTGGTTTGCACAAATTTCAGCTAACATAGTGTCTACAAAGCCAAGACTGCCTATAATCACACAAGGAATTAGTGGACAATCAAGGAAGATAATGAATGTAAAAGCATTAAGCTCTAAAATAGTAGAGTTTATATAATAAACTCTATATAGTAACTAATATTTATTGAACACTAATTCTACTCAGTTGTGTTATATACATTAACCACTTAGTCATTACAGTAACAACCCCCACCCACCCACACACATAGCTGGTATGGTCGAATAGAACCTAGAACTGTTTTGATTCTAAGTCATTTTCTCTTAATCTAATTAGCCTCTCGTGCATTATTTTAATTTCTGACCACAGTGGTTGAATTCTCCCTGTGTCCTTCTGAGAACGATCATTTGGGAAAAAATGCAATAAGCATTGACCCAGGATTTGGAAGACTGGGTTCTACTTCTGATTATACCACACTAATTATGTGACCTTTGGCAAAATCACTTTGTCATCTTTCAATAATATAGAATGGACTGTAGATATTTTCAGGATCTCTTCCAACTCTTAAAAAAAATCTTGTCTGAGACATTATTAGCAATTTATGTATTTGAATTTCTTCTTCCACTATCACCTTAACTTACTTTGTGGTAAAATAATAATAATAACAACAACAACCTTAAGTGACTGTATTGATATAGGTTATATTAGCCGTAATTTGAGGTTCTACTTCCTGTTTGCAGGTGGAAACAAACTATATGAGAAATACAGTAATACTATAAAAATATGCCTTGGTAGTAAGAAGAAATCTTAGAAGCACCAAGTTGAGATAGAGTTCTGATTATACATTAAAGATTTTTCATTTATTACCTCAGTTGATCTTTCCAGCACACAAATGAAGTATAGGTGTTCTCTTTGTTCCCTTCCCCCTGGTAGAGCACTAAGAGAAATTAATCTCCTAATGGATGTGGGCTTCATGGGCCCAGAACTTTTGTTCATACTTTCTGTGTGTGGATCCAGATAGCAAGACCCAGATCCTGCCCAAGAATACGAAGAGAAGTATACACACAAGGCTAAATGCAAGGGTTCCTGCTGGCCAGGCTAGATCCAGCTGCTGCTAGGAAACACTGCCTTTAAAAAGTTGCTATCTATGGTTATGTGTTCAATTTTAACCACCTGAAAAGTGAAATAAAATAGATACCCTCCCCTCCCTAAAAAAAAGAGAGAGAACAAAGATGGCCAGAGATGGATAGAAAGATCAGTATGTCAAAATGAGCAACTTGAATGAATGTCATTGGTAGCAAATTCTCTATAACTGGGCTATTTGTGAGGGTATCCATTTTAAGGACCTTATAAATAAATGAACAGGAAGATCATTTTACAGGTGATAAATTGTTGCTGAGTTGGTAACTAGTAAGTAATAGAAGTGAAACTTAAACACTGTCCTTTGATTCTAGTTTTAAATTCTGATTTTTTTTTTTACCAGTTAATGCCCCATAGCAACAAATACAAACTAAAATACCACCAACACTTCATCCCATTTACACTTGTTAGCAGAAAACCCTTCCTTTCCATTTAAGAGATGGACTCTACTCCTCCTAACATGACTAAGTAACATCAGTACCTAATACCTTGTCTGAGTGACAGTGGGAGTGTCCTATCAGCCAGCAGATTAACTCATTTTTATTATTATCATTTTATATTCAGTTCTTCTGCTTTATTTATCTCTCATTGTTTCACTTTAAGCTAGCTCCCCTTTTTTATTATACTACCCACCAACTTGTCTTTTAAAAACCGTCATATTACCCTAAATATAGTGAAGTATACGGATATCTCCTTATACATTCTGTGCTCATGTACTTGGCATTCATTTCTCATAATAAAACAGAACAACAGCATGCTTCTCTGCTGTTTCTATACAAAGGGTTTTCTCTTTGTCTCTGCTCTTTCAATTCCAAAACCCTAATACATTCTGTGAAATCATACTGACTAGATTCCTGCAAGAGATTTTTAATTAGATTTGAAAGGGAGGTGGGTGATGTCAAGGCATGGATTAATCATGGCTCCGGCTGAATGGTGTGCCTCTGTGTGTTTCTCCTTACAGTGGTGAAATTCCAGCAGCGATTTGTATTTCCAATACAGTTTGGTGGCCCCATGATAGAACACTGGTGGAATTCTAACCTCACTTTCCAAATTTATGCAAAGAAAATGCCACAGAAAAAGGTATTATGAGTGATCTTGACCTTTGCCTCACCATTCACACCAGAGAATAAGAGTATACTTAAAATTATTTTCCAATTTAAGCTAGGAATTTCTCTAAGCACAAGGTACACTAATGCTTTTTAATATCATAATAATTATTTATTGTTATTATTACTACTCTCTGCTGTTTGTTATAGACCAGATATTATGGTTATAGGCTCCATACAAACTATCAAATTTAATCATCACAATAACTCTGTGCATTAGATGTATTATTACCTTCATTTTGTGGATTAAAAAAAACTGAGATTTGGTTAAGTGACATGTCTATGATCACCCTCATAAAAGACAGCCAAGACCCAAGTATTTTGTCTTTAGATTCTAAATTCTTAACATTTTTACTGTGTTCCCTTATTGTAGGGAAGTGACTGTATTGATATAGGTTATTTAGCCTTAATTTGAAGTTCTACTTCCTGTTTGCAGGTAGAATACCTAAGGTATCTTGCTCATGTCCATAATAATATAATTGTGGGTAAATGTTGACTAACTAATTCCAAGTTTATAAATCTACTACAGCTAACATAAATCAATAAACTATGATGTGAGCCATGTTTACTTCTTTTAGTGAAAGGGTAGCCTGTAATCTTTTGACCTCATCTTGTATATGGATAGCATGAAGAAAGCAACTTATTTTCTTTGGTTTGTTTTTTTCAGGGGATATAAATAATACAAGTTCTTTGTAAAAGATAGCAAAACAAGAAGGGGGGTGGAAATGCATGCTTCTGCAACCTTAAAACAATCTCTATTAATGTTTTGATATATTTACATTGAATCATTTTCCTCTAATTAATGGCTTTTTTCTAATTTTAAGAGAATTATACATGTTTTTAAAAAGCAAAATGGCCTGTAGTTCCATCACCATGAAATAACCATTAACATTTATGTGTATCTTGTTTTTTCAAATAAATAGTGTTATCATTTGCAGTTTTTATCCTGCCTTTTTTCTCATTTAACCTTGTTTGTTTCATTTTTCTTCAAAAGAATGTACTTAATGTTTTCCACATAATTATAAATACTTTCAAAGACTTTATATCTATCTATCTCTATATATATATACACATATGATTTAATATCCTACTTCTATCAAATATTGTAGCAATGTTGTTCATATTATTATAAACTTTTAGTGAATGTCATTTTCATGTCTGCATATCATACCATTATATGGATATGCTATAATTAGCTTAGTAATTCTTGATTGTTGAGTATCTTAAATTATTTCTAATTTTTAACCTATATTTCAATGCATAAGTTGTTTACGTATCTTTATTGTTTCTTTAGTATAAATTCCCAGAAATGGAATTACTGAGCCAAAGAATATGAATTTTCAAAGCTTTTCCTTATTAACTACCAAATTTGCTGTCTAAAAGTATGTTGCCAGTTTATATTCTCAGTTTTATTCATATGGAAGCTTTTTGTTTCTCCATAGCTTTGATAATTACTAAGTTTTATAATTTTCTTAGCTTTAATGGCAAAAGCTGTACCATCTAAATTTTGTTTTATATTTTTAATAGCAAAGTTGGACATTTGAGTAAAGAATTTTGTTTTAATTTTTAGACCTTTATTTTATTTACTTATTTTTATGTGGTGCTGAGGATCGAACTCAGGCCCTCGCACATGCTAGGTAAGTGCTCTACTGCTGAGCCACAACCCCAGCCCTGAGTAAAGAATTCTTAAAATCAAGGCTGAGGATACAGCTCAGTTGGTAGAGTGCTTGCCTTGCATGCATAAGGCCTTGGGTTCAACAATCCCTAGCACCACCAAAAAATAAAAAAGAACTCTTAAAATCAGAAAAAGATAACCTTCCAATCTCTTTATAGCATATGAAATCCTCTACAATCTTCCAGAGGAAGGAAGAAATATGGAAACCCAGAAGGGGGACCAAAATATGACAGATTATGGGATCCCACATAGAGTTGCCTCAGTCGAGGAATAAATCTTTGTACTTCATAAAACATGGGTTCTTTTATAAGTCATCATAGGTTGACCCACCAGTTAAAATCCCCTGTGGCTCCTCTTTAACCTAAGCTTTTTCTTTCCTACTTTCCTCAGCCAGAAGTCATTGGATCTGCAGCTCTTCCTTTGCGAGCTGTCATTCAGTCAGAGTTGCTTTCTTTCAGTGACCACCTTCCAGTGCAACAGGAAAATGGTCAAACTCCAATTGGCCCCCTAAAGGTACATTAATATACAATCAGAAGGTCAGAGAAGTATTTTCTGAGCATGTTTTATTGGCTAGCACTGAGAATATAGTAGTGAACAAGGAAACATGATCCCTACCTATTATGGGGTTTCTATTGAGATAGGGCAACAGAAGTCCTATGAAGGAAATGAATGATATTTGTTATGATAGTGAATGCCTGGGATGAAGTAGTACCTGATAGTCAGGCAAGCTCTCTCTAAGGTGGTGACATATAAGGTGAAATTTGAAGAATGAGAGGAGAAAGTAAAAGCACAGGAAAAATCATTCCTAAAAAAGGGAATAACACATGCAGAAGGTCCTAAAGTGGAATTGGTCTTTGTGTCATCAAAGGACAGAATGTTACTACAGGATAGTAGGCAAGAGAAAAGTGTAGAAAGTAGGGTTGGATAGGCAGGTAGGAGCTATATCATTCAGAATTTTGTAGGTCAAGGTAAAGGGTTTATATATTAGCCCAAGAGCCAAGGAAGGGACATTTAAGCACTGAAATGCCATCATCTGATTTACATTTTTAAAATATTTGTGTGGATAGTAGACCGTAAGAAAGAAAGGAAATGAAGAGGCTGTTGCATTAGTCCCAAAAAGAAATGATTGGTGGTGACTTAGACTAGAGTTGTGGCTGTCAACAAGGAGAGAAGTAACAGCGGCCCTGATGGAGTAAATTCTGATGTAAATTGGAGTAAATATAATTGAGAAAGGGTCCTTTCCTTGTGTTCAGAAGCATCAAGATTTTTTAAGTGGCAGAATTTGAATATATGGCCTCAGTACAGCTTTGCTTGGTGTCTTGGTAAGTTTTAAAAATCTTCACAGTCCTGCCTAAAACATTCTCATGGCTCCAAGTGACCCAGAGAATAAAGTATAAGGCTCACAATGTGACACCTGCCTACTACTTCATCCTCTGCCAGTAGCCATGTCAAACTATGTAAAGAATCACTTAAGGTACTGTGAAGATTCGTGCCTCCATTTTTATTTTTTTTTTTTCACACTGCTTCCTCTTCTTGAAAGCCTTTCTTTTTCCTGGTCTTCCTTATATATACCACTTAATCTTTTAAAGACTTATATGATTATTATTGCAAGGAAATGATACCACCTTATGTTTCTGCTAACCAAATTTTATGTTTTGCCTGCCTGGTTCATTCTGCCTGGTGCAAGGTTTAAAATCTGAAAAGGGCTGTGCAATGGCACATATCTGTTATCCCAGCAACTCAGGAAGCTGAGGCAGAGGGATATCACAAGTTCAAGGCTGGCTTGGGAAACTAAAACTGAGGATGTAGCTCAGTTGTAAAGTGCCCCTGGATCAGTCCCCAGTACTGCAAATAATAAATGAATCAATAAAATCTAAAAAGGATAATGAAAAGGATTGATGGACTAGAAATTGTTTTCTGTCCTGACTTTGTTGATAGAAATCCATGCTAGATTGATTGCTGCTATATTTGATAGAGCAAAATAACTGTGTGTAACACCTATGGGTTTCAAATAAAAGCAACAGTAAGAACACTTTATCCCTAATAATTAATTATTCTTATAGTTAGCAAGTGACCACTTCTGTTCTTCAAATTCGTTACTTATCCTGCATCCTTTTTCTTTTTTACTTTTTAGCATTTTTAACTGTTTCACTTTGAAATAACTTCAGACTTAGAGAACTGTTTCAGAAGTAGTACAAAGAGCTTGCATGCCCTTTGCCCAGACTCACCAGTTCTTAATGTGATATTAGTCTTATAATTCTCTTTTTCTGTCTCTCTCTCTCCTTTTGTTTCCTCTTTAGATACACACACACACCCTTATTCCAAATTATTAACATAAGTTCCAGGCATCATATCTATTTCCCCTTAGATTCTTTAGCATGCATTACATGTATTTCCTAAGAACAAAGACATCATCATGCATAATACTCAAAGAGTTATATTGATAATACGTTGTATCTGTAGTCTATACTTTCACAGTTGTGCCTATATTTTCTTTTACAGAATATTTTTTCTAGTCTAGGATTATCATTTGCATTTAATTGTCATTTTTTCTCTGATCTCCTTTAGTTTGGAATAGTTCCACAGTCATTCTTTATATTTTAGTACATAAGCCAGTTATTTTGTAGAATACCCCTCTAGTGGGGTTTACCCAAGTCACATACTATTATGTGATTTTTTTTTCCTCAGTGCGGGGGACTGAACCCCAAGGCCTTGCACATGCTAGGCAAAGTGCACTCCCACAGAGCTACATCTGCAGCTCTTTCTGAGCATCTGTTAATTGACATTTTACTATGTAAAAGACTATGTCCCTTCTCCCATATTAATTTTATATTGGTATAGACTCACAGATTCATATATTATTCAATAGGTTATAGTCCACTCCTATAATTTATTTTAATGCTCAAATTATCCTAGATTTAGCCAATAGAAGCCTCTTCAACTAGATTCTATGTCCCTTAACACATCACCATCCTTTTATGAGCATTTCCTTATTTCCTGGTATAAGATAATATTCTGGTCTCATCTAGTATTATTGATAAATAATCTACCTAGTTTTTCTTAGTCTAAGTTAATGTATGTGCAGTCCAGTCTGTTGTATTCATCCTATGTTGGTATTAAATGATGAATTAACTCATTTCCTAATAATCTGACATTACTTCCAGCTCCAAAATTCCGATTCCAGTTCTACAGGACATTCTTAGTGACTCTTCTTCTTTTGTGTTTTATAGGTAACCATGGAGCTTGTTATAGATAATAAGAATTTCACTGGTGTCAATTCCAAGTTAAATAGCAGCATCCAATATACCCCATTTTGTGCTTCCACAAATCCAGATAAGATACTGCCAGAACCCAACCAAGATACTACCTATACCAAAAATTCACAGACTCTAACTCAAATTCTAGAGGAAACTACAAAGGAAGCACAGAATTTGGTGCTTCCCAACCCAAAGTCACCAAGCTCTATAGTACCAAATTCTTCAACCTCCATGGCTGTACCAACCTCTCATGATTTAGTCAATCAGACAGATATGTCAACAAAAGAAAATGCTTTGCTGTTGCATGTGCTATTAATGGTGCCAGATGGGAAAGATTTTATTACTGGAGAATCTGAGAAACAATCACCATGCAATGTGTATTTAAATTGCAAACTCTTCAGCACAGAAGAAGTCAGTAGATCTATCACTGTATGGGGTACAACACAACCAGTCTTTAACTTTTCTCAGGTAACTTTGTCTATTCCATATCTTTTAGGGGTTTATTGGGGGCAGGAAATAAATGTTTTCCAAATCATACTTCGAATCTAAAAGAAATCTAGAATGTTCAGAATGGAAAGGATTGTTGTGGTTATCTGGTGTGTTCTATTGAGTGGAAAGAGGAAAAGACATTGCCAACATTTTAAAACTTTTTCTATTTCTTTTTTTTTCTTTCTCAATTTGTTTGGTTTCTCCCCACCACCACCACCACCACCACCACCACTACTACTACTATTCTTCTTCTTCCTCTCCCCCTTCACCTCCTTCCCCTCCTCCACCTCCTTCCCCTTTCCTCCTCCTCCTCTTCCCACCTCCTTCCCCTCCTCCTCCTCCTCCTCTTCCCTCCTCCTCCTCCTCCTCCTCCTCCTCCTTCTCCTCCTCTTCTTCTTCTCTTTTTCATTGAATTGTATACTTTATTTATTGTTATGTGGTGCTGAGGTTTAAACCCAATGTCTCACATGTACCAGGCAAGTGCTCTACCACTGAGCCACAACCCCAGCCCTCTCACTACTTCTTTTGCCAGAGTTTTGGATTCTATTTTTTTCTACTTCCTCTAGAACTTTGGTTAGGCAAGCTTCCCCACTCTCCTATATGTTCAGTCTCTTTTTTTTTAATATTTATATTTTTCCTAACTCTCATTTATTCTTCCTCTTATTTCAGTATTCATCTTATTTGACTTCTCTGTAGAATTTGGTGCTGTTGCTTAAATTCTTTTTTTCTTAGGTTTTGCAACTCCGACTTTTTTCTTCCTGACTCAACAGCCAGTCTTTTTCAGGAGAAACCATGAAATGCCTGGCACCTCCCGTATCTCTCTCTTTTTCTTAACCTTTAACTATTGGTGCTCCCATTTATTACTCTTTTTTATTTTTTACTTTTTTGTTATAGATGAACACAATATATTTTATTTTGTTTATTTATTTTTATGTGGTACTGAGGATTGAACCCAGTGCCTCAGATGTGCAAGACAAGCACTCCACCACTGAGCTACAACCCCAACCCCCATTTATTATTCTTGCTGACAGTCTTCAAATTGATCCTCTTTTCCCCATGGTCCTCACATCTACTCCTCCACTTAAACTTTCATTTTATGGAGATAGCTTCTAAATCTACACTTTATGTAAGCCACACATGTGTCTGTAGTTTCAGCTCTCTGTATCTAACTGCCTGCTGGTCATCACCATGTCTCAAAAGCACTTTACACCTAGCACCTAACACATTGCTTGGTGTGTACTAGATATTCAATAAGAAGGTATAAATGAAAGAAGGAATTCCAAATTTGAATTTATTATTCCTTCCAAATCAGTTCTTCCTTAAAATGAATGCCCTAATTCATTTTATAATTTACTCAGAAATTTAAGTAAACCTGAAAATTGTCTTGACTCTTCTATAATTATTCACCAATTCCAATAGGTACTCCAGACTCAATTATCTCTAAAATGGATCCCCTTATCTGTATCCCATTGCCACTGCTTCCATTCAGGTCCCAACCCTCATTCCAAACAGATTTCAGATTGGTCTGCCTGTTTCTTACCCCTCTGGTCCTGTTCATTTCTTTCTCTGTGTACCAGCAAGAATGATCTTTCTAAAACACTAATCTGAACATTTTACTTCCCTGCTTAAAACTTTTCAGTGATTCTCCAAAGCCCTCAGAAAAGAATGTTAATTCTTAGCATGGACTCCAAGACCCTTTAAGAACTGACTGTAGACACTTCTCCAGTCTCAGCATCTGCTACTCTTCCCTTCACTCTAGATAGTCCAGCATTTCCTGAATATTCTCTCCTCCAACCTCTGTGCCTTTGCATGTGCTATTCCTTCTGCCTTGATTTCCTCCTCAACCTATATGACACTTATTAGGCAAGGCATTAAGATCTAGTTAACTCTGCTCAGCCTTAATTTAGGGTTACTTTCTTTTCGAAACTTACTCTGAAACCTCCTTCTTTGAAGACTAGGTTGCTATGTTGGTTTTGTGTGTGGGTGGTTAATTTCAAAGAACAAAAATGTACTTGTTTAATAAGAGTATCTTATGTGGATACAAAAGTAGCTTTACTCTGGTTATCTGTGCTTCTGCTGTCTTCCATTTATTATGTCTTATATATTTTGTTTTGATGCTGGGATCGAACCCAGGGCTTTCCAACGCTGGCATTCCACCATATCATGCCTTATATTATGTCTGGTTTCACCCCTTTTTGCTTCTCATGTTTTCTGTTGGTTTCATCATTAGAGCTATCCCTCTACTATTATAGTTATCACTATAGCTTAAGTTTCTTCAAATTGGTGGTCCCTTGATTCTACTGTTAATTTAATGGAGCTGCTCTTGGCTCTAGATCTTCTGATTGTCTTTATGACTTATCTTTTCTCTTCCAACTACCAGCTAGCCAGTTCTCGAAAAATTTTATATTGAAAATCCAGATAAGAAATCGACTTTGCTTTTACCATGACACTTCTTGAGGAGAGCTGTCTGCACAAGGATTGGCAATCCTTGGATAAAGTGCCCTTTTCCAAACAGTTGCCATCCTGTTTCAAAACACCTTTCTCTCAGGAGGATTTATAAGTGGATCACTTTGCCTTAGAAATGGTTGGGTATGTTTGACATTTGTGGCAGTCTTTTCTTTGTCCCATCTATATGAGCAATGTTACCAGATAACTCAAACTGATTTGGACTTTATGTGTTAATCTATACAGCAGACAGTGTTTCTGTTGAGGTTACAGAATGTATGCATGCAGTCACCTTTGAGTAGATGCTTTTAAAGTAAAAGTTAATTCTTTGTCTCAATATTGGCTTTTTCCCCCTTGTTTCTCCCCAGGTGATTCCTGTCTCTCTGTCTTCCAAGTACCTGGAAAGGCTTAAGAACAATGTGATGGTAATTGAAACTTGGAACAAGGTGCGAAGCCCAGGACAGGACAAGCTTCTCGGGCTGGTGAAACTCCCTCTCCATCAGTTTTACATGTCATTCAAGTAAATAGGATCTTTTGGAGTATTCTTTATTTTGCATCTTTAACTTTGTATGGACTGAAGAGGAATTCTTTTGGTTTGCAAATATGAATAGCCCAGTAATCCCTTGGAGGATCTTTCTCAGTTTCACCACAGCTGCTGCTCTTGCTCCTATTGTAAAGCAGCTGTACAAATACTGCTTACTATGTTTCAGGCACTATGCTAAGAGCCTTACATACATCAAGTCACTTAATCTTCATAACAGCCTCTGAGGCAGGTATTTTCATTTCCCCTATTGTACAGACAAGTTAACAGAGACTCAGAGAAGTTAAATTTCTTGTCTCAAATGTTATAAGAGTAGAAGGGTTAGAACTGGACCACCTGGTTCTGAAGACCACTCTTGTTACCAGAAAGCTCTGGTACCAAAAGTTACCAGCTCACAAAACTAATACCTTATTTTTCTGTCATGAAATATCAGTATGGTTCATATCCACTATTCATAAGATTTCTGTAATTAGTATTGTGCTTTAGACCTTAGATTTGATTATTGTACCTCACTTTAACATCTAGATAGAGTATTGACTAACCTGAAGTTTCTATCCTTAGTGTAGACTGTTTTTTTTTATTCAAAATGCATATGTTTAATTACTTTAGCCCCAACCCCTTGCCTATCAGCCTTCTCATTTCTTCTGTGTTTGAAATATTGTTCTTTACATTTTATAAAGAATACTTTTATGTTCATTATTTGACTTGAACCTTACTGTAACCTCTTGAAGTATTAGCATTGTCCCTATTTTAGAAATACGAAAATTTGTCTTTTGACTTGGAAAAGTCACAGAATCTCTCTGGATTTCTTTTCTATATCTATAAAATGAGAGTGATGATAGACTCCTTATCTCTCTCATGGAGCAATTATGAGAACTCAGTGAGAAAATATATGTATTTTCCTTCTGTGAATACTAAGTACTTGTGATACAACATAGTGCTTACCATAGTAACATTGTAAAACCCAGCCAGGCTGAGGAAAACTACTGAAATCATTGATACCATTGACTGCCATAGGCTTTTGGTTTTTTCCTTTTTCTGTAACTGTGATATTTTGTAGTTGTGATCTGGTATTCATCTTCTTCCACTTCACTTCTGATTTCATAAGATTCATTCCTTACTGAGAGAGTAAAACAATTGTAACTACTCAAGTACAGAGCATTACTATGTGTCAAGCATCATAGATGGTATTTTACGTTATCTCATTTTAGTCCCATCTACAGCCTGTGACGGAAGTTTAATTACCTACATTTTATAAATGAGGAATCAGACTCAGAAAGGCTAAGTTGATTGCTTAAGTCATACAACAAGTAAATGGCAGAGCTAAGATTCAGCCTGATATAATGAAGAGCATTTGGACTTCAGAATCAAACGGTTCAAAACCTGAATCCCAGCTCAATCTCCTATTACTACCTATCTATCTTTAGTTAAGTAACTTAATTGTTCTTTTTGAATTTTTCTTCTGTTTACAATGGATAACATCAACCTTTATAGTCTTAGATGAATTAGAAATACTATAAAATGCCTACTGCATAGTAAGCTCTTAGTAGGTGGCAGATAGCATTGGTAACATCAAAATCTTATCTACCAGATTCTGAAGTTCATACTTTCCCTAGTTGACCACACTGCCTCCCTGTAAAATATGCAATTCAGCAAGCCTCAGCTGAGATGCTGTTTTATCAGAGACTTCATGGCTTCAGGCCACCATGATACAGAGAAGTATCAGACACATTCCCAGCCCTGAAATTCTGCATTTTGAACTTAACCTGCTTTGTAATTTCAGTTTCATTGGGTACTGACAAAACCACAGTTTTTTTAAACCTTATTACTTTTGTAGGTATAGATCCTTTTTAATAAACTGAGAAAATAAGTAAGGAATGAAGCAACTCTTGACATGATTGATAGTTGTTATTTGTTCATTCACAATTTCTTCCCCTCTAGAGATCCCAAGATTTCTCGCCTGCTTCTCGATGCCAAGTACCCAGTTGTTGCTGTTGACAGCTATATGCCTGTGATTGATGTGTTCTCAGGCCACCAAAATGGGAGTCTTCGAGTCTTTTTAGCCATGGGTTCTTCAGATCAGATTATTGCACTGCAGCGATTAAAGAAAGAAGAAGGAATACTCCCTCCCTTCAGCCCTAGGCCAGCCCATTTCCTGGACCAGCCTTCTGTTGCATCTGTTGCTCTGGTAGAGACTCAACACCATGTTTCATAGATAACTATAATCTCATTTTCTCTTGCACATTTTAGTGAAAGCATTGCCCCAAATTCTTATCTCAGCAGTAGAAAGTTCAATGAAAGAGTATAGCTTACACTCCAGTGCTTGCTTTAAATCAGAGGAATCATTGCTATTTTTCTCATGGTTTAAATGGTTCTGTGTCCATTTAGCTCCCTGAATTTATCAAGAAAACCTAATTGGACAACCAAATCTTAATCCTTTAATTTACTAACTTAATTGACTTTTCAAAAATAGGGAGAAGGGAGCCATCCCAGCTGTAAGTCAGCAAAATCTTACTCTGTTGGCTAAGTCCCTGTTGGAAAGTTATAGTGAAGTACTTTGCTTTTCTACTAAACAATTAAGAAGACATATTGACATTCTCTATCATGTTTATTTCCCCAACAACTGAATGAGGTAAATCATTGTCATTCTCTTTTTTAATAATGAAACAGCATTACTTATCCAGAGTCACATAACTAAGACTGGGGGAATCAGGGTTCAGACGCAGGTCTTCCTTTTACTGGATCACTTCCTACTGTTTCTGACATTTGATGTCTCTACTTACTAGTATGTTAGCTTTCCAATGTTTTGATCAAAAGACCTGACAAGAACAACTTAGAGGAGGAAAAGTATTTGGGCTCATGTTTTCAGTGGTCTCAGTCCATGGTTGACTGACTCTGTTGCTCCGGTACCCTAGGTGAGAAGAACATGGTGGCAGAAAGGCACAGTGAAGGAAAGCTGCTCAACTCATGGCAGCCAGGAAGCAGACAGAACAGGGAAGGGGTCAGGGCCAGAGGCCCCAGTGACCTCCCTCCTTCAGCCGTGCCTCACCTGCCTACCTTACTACCCAATAGTCCATTCGAATTATTAATCCATCAAATATATCAATTTACTAATAACATTAAAGCTCTCATAATCTAATCCTGTCACCTCTGAGCTTTCCTTCATTGCCTAGCACATGAGCTCTTCAGGGAATGTTAAAGATCCAAATATAACAAATCTCTATTTACACACCATTTAAATATATTGTGTTTTTAAATTTGAATGGCAAATTTAAATGTCTATAGCAGGGAAATAACCATTAACTATTAACAGGTTATTGTGTATTTGTATGTTATAAACTCTAATCATTTCCTTGCAATTTGTTAGATATTAGTGTCTAACAATAGATTAAATGGTATTTTTCAAATTGGAAATTACTTAAAAGAACAAATCACCAGTACTGTTCCCAAGTCTGCTAAATATTATATGGGCCTCATTTGCAGTGTAGATTCAGATTTTATTAGATTCCATACTAAAAGTTAGAAAATGTTTATTACTGTGGTCATGGAGAAAGTCCTTCAAATGCCTGCTTGTGAGGTTACCTATCTATAAATAATTGTTTTCCCCTCTATACCGTGACTCTCATTGAGTTCACCTTATGCAGAACTAAATCATTAAATTGCTGTATTATTATATGATCAAATTAAACATCTGTAACTCTTAAGAGATCTTTCCCCACCCCCATTTTTTTTGCTTTAAGGAAACAAATTGCAAATATTCTGTTTCCCTAAGAAAAGTTTTTGAGTGTAGTATAGACATCCAAGCCAAAGGAACCTGCCTGGATCCCTGACTGACCTAATTTGTCCATCCATGGCCAGCCAGGGATCTAGGCAGGTTCCTTTGGCTTGGCTCACTGATATGTTTTTAGATTTCAGAGCAAACACTTTATGCAATCTCTGTTCCAGATTGATTGGATTAATAGTCAGAATATTAAATGTGTATATTAAGATGTTTCCCTCATATCCTAATACCAAATTCCCCCTTTGAATAATACTAGTAATCACCTTTCTAATGTTAGTGAAGGCTGTATAGGATGGGGGTAAAGAACACTGGATCCAGAGTAAGACTACCTGAATCCAAACCCTGCTTCCACTGTTATTTGCTGTGCATGTTAAATTAGCTAATACAGGCGAAGTGTCTAGCTGATAATAAATACTCAGTACATGATTAATCATTATTAGTAGTAATACCTACCATCAGTAGCAATTATTCACTACCTCCCTCCAGGAGTCCTTTCTATTATTGGACATTCCAAGCATTAATTCCTAACTTACTTAGAAATAATAAGTAAGTTAATATCTGTTTGCTTCAAATGTGTATTCTTTTTCCTATTAAAGAAATAGCTTTATATTCTTAGTGTACTAAAAACTTTCATCAAATATTGAATTTTATTACATCCCTTTTTAGCATTATTGAGATTAAAATGCTTTTTTCTCTTTGTGCTATTAATGCATGAAAATACATTTATGGATTTCCTAATATTAATTTAGTTTCATGACCTAGAATAATTTCAGCTTAGTCCAATTATCCTGAGCAGTTATAATATTTGTATACAATAAAAACTGTTTTAATATCTGTTTTAGTGACAACCAATTCACTTATTTCTTCATCTATACTCAGACTTTATAGATAAGCAGGAATATTCTAAGCAAGGTTCTCTTTAAAGCTTACCAGTGTTTCTGTTTCTTTTAATAGGCAGAGGACCAAGGAAATGGATTGATGGAGCACCACTTTGAATTCCATATAGAAATGGTTAAAGGTCTAGTCCCGCTTCAGACAACAGTCTGGGGAGAAGCAGATTGTTATGTCCAGTATTACTTTCCATTTCAAGACTCCCAGTCCAGTGTGCTCAAAGGACCTGAATTCCTTGAAAATGGTAGGTTTGGAAGATTAGGCCTTCTTCTTGTTGTGTGTTTGGGTTTTTTTTTTTTTGGACATATTTAGGAAAATTTTTTTCTGAGTGAATTTTGTGTTGCTGAATATTTCTAATCTAACCTAGATTATAAAACAGGACATGAGCTAGAATTTTAATGTGTCTTTTTTCTTAAACTAGTTTTTGTAACTTTTTATTTTGATATGATTTCAAATTTACAGAGCACTTATAAAAATGATACAAAGAATTTCTGTATACATTCACCTGGATCTACCGATTATTTGCATTTTACCCTATATTTATTGTTTACATGGCTGCTCACTTTTTTATACATATATAGTTGATTCTTATTATTTGCAGTAATCATGCTCTGTAAAATTACTGTGAAAACATTAGAAAATTAGGGAATACTGAACCATTACTCTTAAAGAAATATGTATATATACATATCTCACATAAATCATAATCTAAAATCCTACAAACAACTTATCCTGGTAGATTCTATTTTTCTCATTTTACAAAAGAGAAAATGAGATTTGTAAGTGTTAAGTAACTTAACCTCAATAACAAATGGCAAAGTTAAGATTCAAATCCTATCCAACTGGACCCAGAACTCAAGTTTTGTGCACTACACTGCACTGCCCCTACCATCTCCATCTTCTGATCATCTCTGATAGCTAAAACTAGAAGGCAGAGTCTCACTTTATTTGATCTCAGCTGCAAATGAGCAAATCTGGCAACTCAAACATTTTGCCGTTCTGCACATGTCTATTAAAGACTGCAAGGTGCTTCCAGTATTGATTTTGGGGTTCAAATAAAAGATTTATATACAGAATATATTAAGAACTGTTATAAATCCATAAATTTTTTTAAAAAGTGGGTAAAGGACCTGAACAGACATTTTTCAAAGATACATACATGGCTAATAAACAGATAGAAAGTGCTATATTAGTCCATTTTCCATTGCTATAACAAAATACCTGAACAAGTTACTTTAAAAAGGAAAGAGGTTTATTAAGCTTATAGTTTTGGAGGCTAAAAGTTCAAGTTTGAGTAGCCCTATCAATTCCACTTCTGGTATCTGAGTCACAATATGATGGAGAAGCAGAATGGGAAAGTGCTGTGTGCTAAAGAGCTAAGCGCATGAGTGGCCTCACAACTTGCTCTTCAAAAAACTAACTTACTGCACTACAGTGGTAGCTCAGTGGCAGAGTGCTTGCCTCACACATGTGAGGCACTGGATTCAGTCCTCAGCACCACATAAAAATAAATAAACAGAAAAACTAACTTACTCCACAAGACCACCATTAATCCCTTTTGAGGTCAGTGCCACCAGGGACTTAACTACTTTCCATTAAGCCCTGCCTCCTAAAGGTTCTATCACCTCTCAGTATCACCTGGGGCATTCCAGCACATGAACCACTGGGGGACAGACTTCATCCAAGCTGTAGCAGATACAGAGCATCATTAGTCATTTGAGGAATACAAAGCCAAACCATCATGAAATACACTTCACACCCACCAAAATGATATAATTTTAAAAGGACCCTTCAATAGATGAATGGATAAAGAAACTGTGGTATATATACACAATGGAATATTATTCAGCATTAAAAGAGAGTAAAATTATGGCATGTGCAGGTAAATGGATGGAGTTGGAGAATATCATGCTAAGTGAAGTAAGCCAATTCCAAAAAACCAAAGGCCAAATGTTCTCTCTGATTAGTGGATGCTGATCCATAACAGAGAGTGGGGAGGCATGGGAAAAATGAAGGAACTTTGATTGGACAAAGGGAGGGAGGGTTGGAAGGGTGCATGGGGGCAGGAAAGATGATGAAATGAGATGGACATCATACGTGTACATGTATGACTGCACATATAGTGTGACGCTACATTGTGTACAACCAGAGAAATGTAAAAGTTTTGCTGCAGTTGTGTACAATGAATTAAAATGCATTCTTCTGTCATATATACCTAATTAGAATAAATAAATAGTAATTTTAAAAAATAAAAAGGAGAGAGACGTTGGAGAGAGTGTTGGCAGTATGTATAAAAATTGAAACTTTCATACACTGTCCACCAGCAAAGGGACCTCTTTCTTCTCTATTAGCATGAAAACTTAGGGGGAACCATAGCCATTAGGGGTGTGGACCTTGGAGGAGTAACAGAAAATGTAGATTCTGGTTCTAGACCTGTCACCTACTAGCTCTAAGACCTTCAAGCTAACTGTGAAACCTTAAGTCTATATCCTCATCTGTGAAGTAAGAATAATAGTACCTGCTTAGTTTTCTATTTATGTGATCACTTTCCTGTGACATATAAAACATTTAATGATTTGTTGGATATTCTGAATTGCTTTTCTTTTCCAAAGGAATTTCTCTGAAGTCCTTCAGAACTGCAACCACACTCTGCATTCCAGATCCCATCTTTAATAGTGAGCATCATCACTCTCTCCTGTTACCAACTGAAGTTCCAGTACAAAGGCTCCTACTAAGTGTCTTCTCTGCACAGGGCCTTGTGCCTGGAGGTGGAGTCCAGTTTGAAATCTGGTGCAGGTACAGTACGGGCGACCCAGTCTTATGCCAGGAAGGAAGTGCACAATTATAAAGAATCTTTTTTTTATATATTTATTTTTATTTTTTTAGTTTTCGATGGACACAACATCTTTATTTTATTTTTATGTGGTGCTGAGGATCGAACCCAGCGCCCCACGCATGCCAGGCGAGCGCGCTACCACTTGAGCCACATCCCCAGCTCCTATAAAGAATCTTATTCTTAGCCGACCTAGGAACTATTGTAAGAGAGCTAAACAGCCCCTTTTGACCCATTTTATATTCTTCTTTTGACTGTGACTATTGTCTAGCTTTTTCTACAGTCTGTTAGAGTCTCAGGAGCCTTGTGTCTCATACTTCTTTTTTTTTTCTTTCTTTCTTTTATTTTTTTGATACTGGGGACAGAACTCAGAGATACTCTACCACTGAGCTATATTCCCAGACTTTTGTATTTTATTTGGAGGCAGGGTTTCACTAAGTTGCCCAGACTGGCCTCAAACTTGGGATTCTCCTATCTCAACCTCTCAAGTCCCTGGGATTATAGGTGTGCACCTGGCTGAATCTCATACTTCTAACCATTCCTCACATTGCAAGTGAGTTCCTATTAGTTTCAGCCTCCTACTGTTTATTTCTTGGTTCTTTCTCTTTTTAAAATACCTTTATTTTAATTATTTATTTTTATGTGGTGCTGAGGATCAAACCCAGTGCCTCACATGTGCTAGACAAGCACTCTTCCATTGAGCTTCAACTCCAGCCCCTCCTACTATCTTTTAAATATATCATTCAACTTTTAGGGGCTTCTCTTACCACCTTACTTGATTCACACCCTTATTATATGATGCCTGATTACTATCAGAGCCTCCAAAATGGTCTCTGCACTTCTAAACTCATTTTTTGTAATCTGTCCTTCACCACCAGAAGAGTAGTCTTTCATAAAAATATAAATCCATTTAATATTGCTGGCTTTGGTAGAAGATTTGTAGAAAATATACACATATCCAGTCTCTTTCACTTACTTGCATCCATACCTCCAAGAAATCAACTAAAATGATTATGAAAAAAATAGATATAAAAGAAAGGAAAACAGTGTCAGATATAGAACTAGAGAAGACTACCATCTTATGCTAGAAATGTTTTCTAAATATAGTCAGGAAAGCAAGTGCAGAATTATTTTTAAAACCTCCTAGGTATGATTTATAGCTTTATAATCTGAAAATGGGTTGTTTTGACATGAGGAGGAAATACAGTAAGTACTGACAGATCTTCATTACTTCTCCAAATTAGAAGGGTCTAGGCCCAGAGATGAGGAGGAGCCAGGAAAGAGATTGGGACTGCTCCATCCAGAAACATTTTTGCTACTTCAGGTTGGAAACTGTAGGGAGCAACTATTCCCAGAGGCCCACGGCATATACAGATAATCTCAAACAGAAAACCTGTGGGAAGCTGGGCTGGGTCCTGAACTCAGATTATAATTTATGGGGTTGCTCCTCCATGTAATAGGTGGTAAATTTCTCTAGACAACCAAAGATGTGTACCACCAATATCAATCAGGCTGCGAAGATAACTAAATACTGAAAGCTGATCCCTAAGCTGACTGAGTCATTCATTATCTAATTCTTCCAATTAACAGCTTGTGCTTTTGTGGTTTACAGGTACTATTATCCTAATGTGAGAGACCAGATGGTCGCCAAAGGAATCTTGCCATTGTCAAGGATCTGTGCCATGGTAACCATGCAGCACCGTGAGGATGTGGGAATACAGACCTTTAATCTCCCTTTAACCTCCAGGTTTGAGAACAGGAAGGATTTGAGGAATCAGTTATCAGGTAATTGAAGACTAGTTTGTCTTTCCCTTTCAAAATCAGTATATATAAATATCCCTTTTCTTTCTAAATTAGCAATTCTTTACTTTTTGAGGTATTCACCCTTTTGAGGATCTGATGAAAACTATGAGACACCGTCTCAGAAAAAATAAGTGTAGAATATACACTGCAAAATTTGCATATAATTCTAGAAAAGTCAGAGTTCTAAAGATGGTATAAGTGTCTCTTGCCTCATGTCACCTTAAACTTTAACAAGTGTTTAATAAGCTTTCATAGCATAAATTCTAAGTGTTATATAGGTGCACTTGGAGAATTATTTTCTAAGACAACATAATGTAGATTTGATGAAATATAGTGAGCTTGAGCTGAGAATTCACTGTAAGAGAGGAGAAGGTTAGGATTTAAATTTTTGGAAGGGATTAACTAGAGTTTGGAGTTTTGAAAGGTATTACAACCTGATGATTCCAGCAGGTTGATCTGCCTTCCAAATATCTAGGATTACCTTCCTAAATCAAGTTGCTGTACACTGTACATGCTTGCTGAAGAGTGTCTGCCAATGTGCTCCTGCCATATGCTCCTAACCCTCATTGATCAACTTGTTCAGTTATTCCTTAAGGCTTTCCCTGAAATGAGACATGATGGTAGAATTTTTTTTTGTAAAAAAGATCACATATAGTTATTAACCCTAAAATATAATATTTAGTGTGTTTCTGACCATGGAGAGATTCTCTCAGTGTTAAGGCCCCTTATTATTCAATATGATTATAGTGTTTCTCCTTTCTGCCTTCCTCTCTAGGACTTTGTGGTTGTGTAGAACAGAGATTCTGCTAACCAACCTTTTAATCTTTTCCCTTTTGCCCTCATTCTTCAGGTTTACTAGATGTGGGCCTAAGGTATAGACGAAGTTCAAGAACAACAGAGGGAGTTCTTGCTGCCCGAACTGTCTCCATCTCAGTCCAGATTATCAGAGCCTGTGGTCTGCAAGCAGCAGCCAAGTAAGTCCACTTTATAAAAGCAGTTTTCAAACCTTTTTCTACTGTAGTTCATATAGTATGATCTCACATGTCTATAATTTTCTATGTACAATTTATAGCTCTTAACCCAACTTTTTGTCTGATAAGAAAGCATTTCAGAATTTAAGTAAATCACTTAAAAACTTTGCTAATTTAACTGTTTTTGCAACTCAGTTCCTTGACCTTATCCAGTGATTTTATCCTCTGCCTTTTTTAAATATTTACTGCCATGGTCATGCCCTGCATCCTTAAGCCATGCCATGCCCAATCACTGCAATTCCTTTATAAACCCATGTTAACTCATTTTAGTCTCTTAGTCCTAACTCCTGTTTTTTCATCTTGTTTCCCTTCAGTCTGTTCTCAACATAATGGTCAATGATCCTATGAGAACTCACATCAGACCTTGATATGTGTCTATTTAAAACCCACCAGTGACTTTCCATCTCTTTCAAAGTAAAAGCCAGAGTCCTTGAAATAGCCTTAAGTCCCCACATGATTTGACCCCATTATTTCTGTGGCCTTGTCTCTTCCTGATAGTCTCCACTCTACTTACTCCTCTTCAGCCACTGGACTTCTCATTTCTTCAATCCATACCAAGCACATTTCCCCCTCCAGGCCTTTATCTTGTTGTTTTCTCTGCTCAGAAAAGAAAGCCATGTAGAACATCCATGGCCCTGTCCTTTACCTCCTTCAAGTCTTGCTCATACTTCTCTTGGCCTTGAATGTTCCTCCTCCTCCTCCTGTCTACTTAAATTCCTATTTTCCTTCAAGACTTTGCAACATATGTGTAGCCTTCCTTTACTTCTTCCTACCTGGAGGCAGAGTTGGTGCTTTTTCCTTTGTGTATTAGCACCTTGGTTGTAGCACATATTATTCTGTTTGGATTATTGGCATGCATGAATATTCCCCCACTAGGCTGTGAATAACTACTCTAAGTCACTTTCTGAATTTCTCTCTGTCCCCCCACCATATAAAATAGTTCTAGCAACAACAGTAATAAATAGAACTCCTAAGGCTCCTCCTCCACTAACTTCTCCCAAAAGACTTTTTAACTGCCCAAAATATCTTAGTGTCAGAGAAAGTGGCATTAGGGCAGTTTTTAGTCAGATCACTCCCTTACATGAAAACCTTTGATGGTTTCCTATTGTTGATAGGAATTGTACATTTCTAATAATAAAAAAAATTAGCATACCCTTTAAAAATATGTATATGTATTCATGTATAAATCATCTTCATGTACTACTGTTCTGTTAAGTTAAACACATAATAAAATATACCATAGGATGAATAGGAAAACTTTAATATATGAGATAGCAGATAAAAAAGTTTTAATATTTTCTTTCTGTGCCTGAACATTTGCTCTATGAAACTCCTAAGCTGGATGCTTCTCTTTAGGGACCACTGGCCTGCAGAATAAGGTCCAACTTCCTTAACTTAGCATTCAAAGCCCTTCAAAATATCTTAGTCTGAGTCTTTTGTTTTGGGTGGGGGCTACTAGGGATTGAACTCAGGGGCACTCAACCACTGAGCTACATCCTCAACCCCACTTTGTATCTTATTTAGAGATAGGGTCTCACTGAGTTGCTTAGCGCCTCGCTTTTTGCTGAGGCTGGCTTTGAACTCATGATCCTCCTGTCTCAGCCTCCTGAGCCAATGGGATTATAGTCTGAGTCTTCAAAGAAGAGTAGTAGTTACTGAGATGCCCAAGAGAGATGAAAGTTATTCTAGTCAAAGAGAAGAACATGTGCAAAGGCATGAAGGCATGAAACTTGTATATTTAGAATATGTGTTCTGTGCAGATCCAGCCAAGATCAGAATTCTTCAGTACAACATTAAATTAACTAGTGGTTAAATGTCAGAAAAGGTCTCAAATTTTACTCAGCACATCTCTGAGAGACTGAATCATAAAATACTCAATAATTCCTCTCTGAGGATTCAAAGGGATTTTGTCTGTGTTGCAGTTTCAAAAAAGAATAGCAAGAAGCTTGCCAGTTCTAACACTGCACTCTTCTGATAGTTGAAGGAGTTCGACAGGATATAAGACAAAGCACTGTGTAATAGAAACAGAACTACACTAGAAAATCAGACACCATGGCTTCTACTCCTACCCCCATCTCCTAGTAGCTAAGCATGATCATGGGCTGATTTATTTACCTCTCTGAGCCTACTTTTCTTCATGTAAAAACTGGAATTTATCTGTCCTGATTTTTATAAGGATCAGAATAAAAATTTAAAAATATGAAGTCACTTTAGAAGCTGCCAAAAACTATACAAATGTATGAATTTTTATAATTACATCCACTTGTATTGATAAATTAATGTCACCTTTATTAAAAGCCAACAGAATATAGTAAAATTTGAAGTGAGCTTTGCATTGCCTTTCATTTAGAGGAGGCCTTGGTCTTCTAAATGTTCCCTTCCTTTGAATCTCACTCTGATATTTGATGACAGGTGCTCTAAAGTCGACCTTCTCTCAAGAGACACCATTCCTCATCTTATGGATATTTTTGGTGTCTAAAGTAGGCACTTCTTTTTTATTCACTTGCATCTTCCAACTCACCTGATCTTTAACTGAGAAGAAAATTTTTCTTAAACATAGGCAGTAGTCTTTTAAGTTCCGTAGAATGAGAAATTATAGCTGTTTCACTATATACCCAACCTTGAACTCAGTGCATGACCCAGAGCACATGTTCAGCAAATAATTGTAAATGAATGAATTCAAACCACATTGAGTTGAGCCCAAGCCTTTCTGCCATCTCACTGCCATCTCTGAGAGTTCCCTATTAAAAGTCTTTTCACTGCCCATAGGCAGGTTCTTTGTATTTATTCTTTGTATTTATTATCTAATGGTATCTTCAAAATACCCTATGACTATTTTTTAACCACTACCAGCATTCAATTTATTTCTGCCTCATTTTTCCTAGGCATAGCATAAACTTCACAGAATATCCTAGGCATAGCAAAAACTTCACAAAATACTGTTGTATGGACACACTTTAATCTTCTATTAATGATTATTTAGGTTGTTTTCCTTTTTTTTATTAGAAGTGAAATTGCAATAAACATCCAAATATATATATATATATATATATATATATATATATATATATATATATACACATACACACACACACACACACTTTTAGTATTTTGTCATATCCTTTTATTAACCATATTTTGAGACTGGAAGGAGATTGAGTAACTTGTCCAGGGTCATACAATAAGGAAATGATGGAGCCAGGATTCAAACTAAGATCTGTATAACTCCAAATTACCACCCTCTACATATATATATGATGCACAGTGGGGATCTTAGAAGAAAAGGCCCCCAAGTCTGCTTTAGGGATATCGGGAAATGCTGCAAAAACAGGTGACCTTTTTGTCTGTTCCCTTAGGGATTTTTGGGGGTCAGAGGATTTGTCTCATACTATGCCTGTACAAAAAACTACTCTTTATAACTGGCCATTAAAGATCTGCATATTCTATCTGTATATCATGGAACATCTGTACAGAGGAGAACAAAGCAACCCCTGATATCTGGGAAGCCATTTGACATTCATAGCTAGGCTTGGGTATTTTCTTGCTGAACATAATCTCACAGAATATCAGCATCAGATAAAACCACTCTGTGACCATGAAAAGTGAGACAAAAACAAGACTGCTCTATAATCTTATTTAAAAACAGATCAAAAGGGCTGGGGATGTGGCTAAAGTGGTAGCGCGCTCGCCTGACATGAGCGCAGCGCTGGGTTCGATCCTCAGCACCACATACAAATAAAGATGTTGTGTCCACCGAAAACTAAAAAAAATAAATAAATATTAAAAAATTCTCTCTCTCTCTCTCTCTTTTTAAAAAAAAATTAAAAAAAAAATAAGAACAGCAGCAGAATACAACATACACTAGTATGGCAATATGTAAAACAGTGGATGTGTTACCGATGTGATTCTGCAATCTGTATACGGGGTAAAAATGGGAGTTTATAACCCACTTAAATCAAATGTGTGAAATATGATGTCAAGAACTATGTAATGTTTTGAACAACCAATAATAAAAATTTAAAAAAAAAAAGAAAAGAAAAATAAGAACAGATCAAAAAGATCACTCTAGGGGCTGGGGCTGGGGCTCAGAGGTAGAGCGCTTGCCTACCATGCGTGAGGGCACTAGGTTCGATCCTAAGCACCACATAAAAATAAAGATTAAAAAAAATATATATCACTTAACAAATAAAACGGTCCATTTCTTCTGGGGGAAAAAAAAAAAAGATCACTCTACAAACCACAAAAACACTCAGCATGCCCCTGTCTTGCACAAAATGAGTGACTGCTGCAACTTTATTTAATAAAGCTTTAACTGTAGTCTTCCCTTCTTCCAGATAAGACTCATTAAGCAAACCAGTACAGAGCAACGCCCTGCTCCTTTGAGCTCTCCCCCAAATGAGTTAACATGAGCCCAGTGCTACAGTTCTTTCTGATATCATCTTACTGAGATGTCCTATGGTTCTCTATGGAATATATTTTTCCTTCATTGCAATGAGCAGTAAACCCAACTTGTTCAATGACAGTTGGTTCCTGTGATCTTTGAACAGTATTGACAGTACAAAGCTCTGAAGTGTCACTCTGATAGGTAAATTAATATAGTCTGCCCCCAACCCCCATGTAAGTATGCTGTGATACCTAGTTTACTAAGAAAGCACATTGTAGCACTGCCAAAAGCCCTGATACAAACTGTATTATCAAATTGTATGGTTTCATTGAAGGAGTCAAGATATTTTCTAGGCAGTCAAACTGATTTCTAGTAATATCATGGTATACCTTCTTCTCATTCCCACCCTTCTTCCCTACAGGGCTTTGGCTGAGCAAGATCCCGCTCTACAGTTTAGTGCCACAGTTGGAGTCAATGCCTCTGTCACCACTCATCTCTCGTTCTTGCCCAAAGGAGAACAGCGTAGAACCCGCCCTGTGGCCTGTTCCTTCTGTCCTGAGTTCTCCCACCACATAGAGTTCCCATGTAACTTGGTCACTCAGTATTCTAGTGGAGAGGCCTGTTTCCTAGCAGAACAATTAGAGTTTGCAGAAATTATTTTTGGTATTTATCATGAAAATACCAAGTCAGGTAAGCACCAAATGACTCATCATAATAAGAATAAAAAGAGGCTAATTTGAATGGTATGGCCTTTCTTAGGAGATTCACATTGATGAAGTGTTTCAAGGTGAAGGGTCATGATTCCTGCAATTTATATCTAAAGGGTATAACAAAAAATAAGTTTGTGTGTGGAGAAAGAAAGTGTGTGTGTAGAGTTAGTATAGAAGGAGACAAAGCACTGAATCCAAATGTTAATGTGTGAGTCTAGGTGAAGGATGCCTAAGAATTCATTATGACATTCTTGGCAACTTTTCTGTATGCCTGTAATTTTTTCAAAATAAAATGTTTTTAAAATTTTAAGGCATTTAGACTTTGACTAGAATGTGAGTGAGCAAGATAATTTCTAAAGCATCTTTCAATACTTGAGATTCAGTGAGTATAAGTAGAAGATTATGTGACTATACTGTAAACAAAAGCCCCTTAATCAATAGACCACAAAATAATTTTCTTTTTTTCCTTAACAGTCAGTAGTATAGCCAGTATCCAGTCATGCAAAGAGTATCTGCTTGGAGTAGTAAAGATTCCAACCAAAGAGCTGCTGGTCAAGAGATCTGGTAAGGATCCTAAATTATCACTTTCTGACCCTACCCTTGCTGATGCCCATTCACTTCCCTTCAAGAGGTAATCTTGGGTTGGGCCTGTAGCTCAGTGGTAGAGGGTTTGCCTAGCATGTGTGAGGCACTGGGTTCGATCCTAGCACCACATAATATAAATAAATGAAGTTTTTTAAAAAAGAGGCAATCTTGTCTGGCTTCCTTGAAAATGTGCATAAGCTTCTGAACCCTTCTAGATATTTCAAAGCTTTGCTCAAAGGCATATTAAAGCCTCAATATTTATTTCCCAATCTTTCCTAATCATTCCAAATGTCTTCTAATAAAACAATGAAGCTTAAAACATTTTATTCATTATATTCATCCTACTCTAAGAATGATGATGATGATGAAAAAGAGGGAGGAGGAGAAGGATGAGAATATGGCAATACCCATTACATTACATAGCATTTTGTAAAATATTTTCTCTGATCTTGTTTAGAGCCTCAGGATAACCTTGCCTGGAGAGGGTACAGAATCTTATTTTCATTTGACAGATGAGAAAACAGGCTCAGGGATTAAATGATTTGTCAAAACCACCTCGCTAGTACGTAACAGAATTTGAAATCAAATTCAGATTCACCAATTATTTTTTACTATACTGTCCTCTTTCATTGAAGAAGAAGGAATAAGGTAGGTGATAAAGGCCCAAAAGAATACACACAACCACCATGGCAGTGTGGAAATATTGGTGCCATCCTTACTCATAGATGGGTGACCTTGCCCAAGTAATTTGACCTGTCTGAGCCTCTGTATGAAGATAGTTAATCTTGACAAGTATACAAGGTAGGAACTGATGAAATCAGAGTACATGACACGTAGTAGGTACTCAGTAAATGTTAGTTTTTCTTCTCTCATCCATGTTCCTCTATATAATCGTGTAATCTTGTTTCCAGAATTTATCACACACTTCCTAATTTAATTATAAATTAACATTTGAGCATTACCCTCAAATCAGAACCTATATGTCTGCCAGAGAGAAGTCTGTACAACTTGATAAATGATTCAGTTCTCACTTCTGTCACTTGCTATTTGTGATCTGGAATGAATTATTTCATATCTCAGATCTATAACTCCCTCATCTATGGAAATAATGATACGTCACAAGATTATGGAAGCATTTATTGAAATTATACATGTGAATAGAGCGGGGCACATAGAATACCTCAGCTTCCTTCCTTCTGAAACTTACTACAGAGTTTCTCAGGGAGCAGGCACCATCTGGTAAATCTATCTCTACAAATTAAAATTAACCCTTTGCATAAGCCTTTTAGATAATTTGGGATATATCATTTGTCTTTTCTTCTGAGTTCTAAAGTGAACATTCTATTTTATTTCTTCCTACCACTAATCTCAATTATAGTATCTCGGAGCTAAATGGACCATCTAATCTAAGCAATTCTTAAGCACAAGTGAGAAATTGTACACACATTTGTATATTTTTCTAGGACTAATAGATTTTATTACAGCAAAAGGGACTTGTGACCAAAAAAAGTTAAGAATAACTAGGTTATAGAAAAATACTCAAATGAGTGTTACTAAAGCCAAGGCCATAGTTATTAGATTGTCCAAGTGGAAAGAAAGCTTAAAGATCAACATTTTCAGCCACCTCATTTTGTAAACAAAAATAAGAAGGCCAGAAATATTAAATGCCTGTCCAAAACCTTATGTAACCTTTGGCAAGTTAATCTCAGTAAGTCCAAATTGTCTCATTTGTGACAAACATTTCCCAGAAAATTACAGTGAATGTTATCATACTTGTCCACAATCTGCTTTAATATAATTCTGAAATCCACAAAGCCCTGAAAATAAAGTTTTTAAATAACTCATAAAGCAGCTAAATCCAACCTTACCTGACATGAAACTTAGACAACCTTCTGTTTATATAAAGTTTTTTTGAAGCACCATGTTTATTCATTTATATATTGTCTATAACCATTTTGTCACTATAGCTGCTTGGTTGAATAGTTACATCAGACACCAAATGACCCAAAAGCCTATAATATTTACTACTAAAAAAGTTTGCCAACTCCTAACTTAAATGACCCCTGATTGTTATAATATTCTGTTTATTTTCAAGTCTGAAAAATTCTAAATTCAGAAACAAATCTGGCCCTAGGGGTTTCAGGTAAGATAGTATGAACATGTGGTAAGTGTATTATAGACTTTTGAAGCAGCTAGACATCGGTTCAAATCTTTACCACTTCATAGCTGTAATAAAATTTGATTAGGGGGCTGGGATATAGCAGAGCACCTGCCTAGCATGTCTGAAGCACTGGGTTTGATCCTTAGCACCACATAAAAATAAACAAATAAAAGAATGGCATGCTGTCCATCTACAACTACAAAAAAATAATTTAAAAATTTTTTTGATTAGGTATGTGAGCTATCATTTTCTTATGTAGAATAGGGATTATCCCATTTAACCCTCAGAACTTCATAGGGTTGGTTATCAGGGGAATTAATGAAATAATATATACATGGCACCAGCACAATTTCTGAAATATAATAGATACTGAATAAAAAGTAACTAGTATTGCTAGGTGTGGTGTTGCACGCCTGTAATCCAAGCAGCTCAAGGAGGCTGAAGCAGGAAGATCATGAGTTCAAAGCCAGCCTCAGCAAAAGCAAGGCACTAAGCAACTCAATGGGACCCTGTATCTAAACAAAATGCAAAATAGGGCTGGGGATGTGGTTCAGTGGTCGAGTGCCCTTGAGTTCAATCCCTGGTACCAAAAAATAAAGTAGTCATTATTATTTTGGAATCTAATGTCTGGTCCTTGGTGTGTGTTTACTAAATGGCAAACACTTTGGTGTGGAATACCTGAGATCAGACCCAGATCTCCTGATGTTTTATCCCTGGCCTTTTCCATTGTACTCACAGGACAATAATAATATTTCCACGTCATTTATAGTACTTTTTTTACAAAGCTCTTCCTTAACCATTATCTCATTTAACAATTATAATAACTTTGATAAACAAGATCAGCATTAATTTTCTCATTTGTGAGGTAAAGAAAGCAAAGCTAAGAGAGATTAATGATTTACCCAGAATAAACCACTGATTCTGGGCTGAGCCAAAGAGAGAACTCAGATCTTTCAACTCCTAGTCTTCATTCTTCCCTTCTAATCTCATTGCCTCAATAGTCAGATAGAAGAGAAACTCTAATTCACTGTTGGTATGTTTTCTTTTCTGTCTTGAGCCAAGCTGATGGATAATCTGGAGTGGAAAGGGGGTAAGTTTTTTACTTTTAAAGACAATAATTAAAAATCTTTTCTTTCTCCCATAAGGAATCACAGGGTGGTATCCTGTCATTTTACCAGAAGATGGAGACCTGCCTCACGGTTTGGAGCTTTTACAGAAGATTGTGGGTGGTCTGGAACTTTCAGTTTCCTTCACCCATCCTGGAGATAGAGAACGGGTATTAGAAGCTGCTGAGTTGATAGGATGGAACTTTGAGAATAGCCTGAAGGATCTTGTCAAGATGGATGAAGAGGAGCCAGCCACTGTCACCATCTCCACCCCAAGACTATGGCTGCCCATGCATTGCGTGCTGCTTGCTGGCCACACACGCATTCATAAGAGCACATATTGCTACCTTCGCTATAAGCTCTATGATCATGAAGCCTTCTGGACTCCTCTCAAGAAGCCTAAAGAATCTGCAGTCAAAAATCAGGTCATGGTTACTTTCCAGGCATCCAAAAGAGCAGAAGTAATTCGGGGCCCTTCACTGCTTTGGTACTTCAGGGAAGAGAGGCTAGAGATCCAAGTATGGAGAGCTTATGGCAATGATAGTGTAGAGAGGCCCCACCAGACGGACAGCTGGATTGGCTCAGCCTACGTGGACTTAGCCAGACTTGGGGAGAGGTCAGCAAGGACACTAACTATCAGTGGTAAGTGAGGAGCCAGGCTCAACTATTATGATTTGGGTATCTACTATGTATTAAGGACTGTATGAGACATCCTGTCCAACATTATTTTATTTGATCTTCCCAGCAATCATGTGGGATACATATTAGACCCATTTTATAGTCATGGAAATGAAGGCTCAGAGTGGTTGGGTAACCTGCCCAGAGTCACAAACTAGTTAGTGTTCTTTCCATTATTACATGCTGAAAGATTAATAATAATGTAGTCGTGCTTCTTGTAACGAAAGAGATTTCAAAGAAAGAGGTCCACAGACTGGTATTCCCAAGTTACAGTTCTTGGGGTCACTAAAGATCCAAGAACTGGCTTTGAACTTTGTAGCACTAGAGTATATCCAAAATCATCAGATTTTTGCACTTAACATAGTCCCTAAAATATTGTAAATACTCAGTTAATATTTATAGAATGAGTAAATTTAGGGGAATACCTGCTGCGGAAACAAGAATATGCATCCTCTCTGGCCAGCACATTTGGACCCATAAAGAAAATCTATATGGTAATGAACTGATTCTTGTGAATCATATGCTAAGCATTTTTTTCACAAGAATCAGTCAGTTAATTATCATACAGAAAAGAAAACAGTAACATTTTACAAATGGTATGGGTTGGGTACTGTCTTGATCCCTGAGAATTCAAACATGAGTAAGAAATAGTCCCTGACCTCATTGATTTTACTGTCTGCTGTGAGAATACAATAGTAAACTAATTATAGGGAAGCATAAGAACTAAAGAAAAGGTATTCTCAGTGGTGCTCTGGAAGCATAGGGATGCAGCATCTCTGGGGCAAAGATGACACCTCAATGAAAGTGGTACTTGACCTCCAAGTTTCAAAGGATTTAGAGATAAGCCAAGGAAAGGAGGAAAGAAAGGTATTCTTAAAAGGGGAAGAGCACTTATGGAGGCATAGAGGCATTAAGCGGTTTGATAAATTTTAGGTGCTATAAGTGGGGACAGCCGGATCATAGGATACATAGGTTGGAATGGTGGACGATAAAGCTAGAGAGGTAGGCAAGAGTACTATGTTTCAACTCTTACTTCTAAGTAGAAAAGTTTGGACTTTTTCCCAGGAGCTATGGAAAACTATTATAATGAGTTCTGAATATAGGAGTAACAGCTTTGCATTCTTTAAAAAAAAAAAAAAAAAATTCTAGCAAGTATAGTGCAGAATAAATTCCAGCTAAGCAGACTAGATTCTTTACAAACATGATATTTATTCAGCATAACACTCCTGTAAGGTTTGTCATTTCCCCCTATTTTTTTTAATTGATTTTATTTTTTTAAATACACGACAGTGGAATGAATTACAATTCTTATTACACATCTAGAGCACAATTTTTCATATCTTTGTATATAAAGTATGTTCACGCCAATTCATGTCTTTATACATGCACTTTGGGGTTTTTTTGCATTACAATTCTTATTACACATATATACCACGATTTTTCATATCTCTCTATATAACATATGTTGACACCCAATTTGTGTCTTTATATATGTACTTTGGTTAATGATGTCCATAACATTCCACCATCCTTGCTAATTCCCTGCTCCCTCCCTTTCCCTTCCACCCCTCTTCCCTATCTAGAATTCATCTATTCCTCCCATGCTCTTCTTCCCTACCCCACTGTGAGTCAGCCTCCTTATATCAGAGGAAACATTTGGTTTTTGGGGATTGGCTAACTTTACTTAGCATTATCTTCTCCAACGCCATCCATTTACCTGCAAATGCCATGATTTTATTCTCTTTTATTGCTGAATAAAATTCCATTGTGTATATATGTCACATTTTTTTTATCCATTCATCCACTGAAGGACATCTAGGTTGGCTCCACAGTTTAGCTATTGTGAATTGTGCTGTTATAAACACTGATGTGGCTGCATCCCTGTAGTATGCTGTTTTTAAGTCCTTTGGGTATAGTCTGAGGAGAAGGATAGCTGGGTCAAATGGTGGCTCCATACCCAGATTTCCATACTGCTTTCCATATTGGCTGCACCAATTTGCAGTCCCACCAGCAATGTATGAGTGTACCTTTTTCCCCACATCCTTGCCAACACTTATTGTTGTTTGTCTTCATAATAGTTGCCATTCTGACTGGAGTGAGATGATATCTTAGAGTAGGTTTGATTTGCATTTCTCTAATTGCTAGAGATGCTGAGCATTTTTTCATATATTTGTTGATTGATTGTATATCCTCTTCTGAGAAGTGTCTGTTCAGGTCCTTGGCCTATTTGTTAATTGGGTTATTTATTTATTTATTGGTGCTTAGCTTTTTGAGTTCTTTATATACGCTAGAGATTAGTGTTCTGATGTGTGAGGGGTAAAAATTTGCTCCAAGGATGTAGGCTCTCTGTTCACCTCACAGATTGTTTCTTTTGCTGAGAAGAAACTTTTTAGTTTGAGGCTATCCCATTTATTGATTCTTGGTTTTAATTCTTGTGCTATAGGAGTCTTATTAATAAAGTTGGGGCCTAATCCCACATGATGAAGATTAGGGCCTACTTTTTCTTCTATTAAATGCAGAGTCTCTGGTTTAATTCCTAGGTCTTTGATCCATTTTGAGTTAAGTTTTGTGCATGGTGAGAAATAGGGGTTTAATTTCATTTTGTTGCATATGGATTTCCAATTTTCCTAGCACCATTTGTTGAAGATGCTATCTTTTCTCCATTGCATGTTTTTGGTACCTTTGTCTAATATAAGATAATTGTAATTTTGTGAGTTAGTCTATTTTACTCTGACCCTTTAATTGAGCAGGTGACCCAGGTTAAAAGAAGATAACTGAGTGAATTTGGGTGATTGTCCAAATTATCTGAACTCTCTGGATCCCGCAAGTATAAATCTGGCCCAGTGGAGCACCTTATCAAATGTTGTATGCCCTATTTTATTGAGGCTGGCTTGGAATCATTTCAGAGAGCAAGAGGAAAGTCCTTGAAGTGAGCCAAGAGTACTTGAATGAACTTCATAAAGACAGGCTTTTAACTTCAGTCTTCTGAAGAATGTAGATTTTGAACACTAAATATAGATCTAAGGGTCTAGGATATATACCCCTTTATATTAAACAATACCAAAGAGGTTATTTAACTTTTTATATCATCCATGCCCCTTCCACTTCTCCACATTCCACTAGTCTGAGCTTTTTATCCACTTGTTCAAGGGCCCTTATACAAGACATTGCATTTTTGTTTTTGTTGAATGAGTCAGTCAACCCATCTAGGATCCATCCAGCTGACTTCTGCATACTATAAGTTTCCTGAGGATAAGGATTTAACTGTGTTGCCTTTAGGTGTCTTCCCTCTTATGACTTGCCCTTATTTTCTGTTCATGATAATCATAACAATTTACATATTCCACCAAGAAGAAAATAGTTTATTTAAAAATAAAAAAAGACTAGAAAGTTCTATTTTATGTGTGCCATATGTGAATCTGTTAACTCCATTTTCTTGAATTGAGTTTAACAGAGCAAACTTTGAAATTCAGAAGGAACTATTGGTGCCTTCTGCTTTGTAAGTAAAATCTCATTTTAACATGCAGCAAACCAGCAAAGTTCAAATCCCTGGGTTTAAATCTGCCGTTTACTGGTATAGTGATCTTGGCAAATTATTTAATCCTTCTGAGATTCTGGCACATAAAAAAGACTTAACTACCATTAATTCCCTTACTTTTCCTTCTTGCCTCCTGCTTCCACCTCCTATTTCCCTTCAAAATAATCATCAGGGTTACTGCCATAACATATTTAATTGGTGAAGCAAGGTTCAACTGAGCACCAGTACAACTTCCTGATTGGGAGAAGTCTAAAAATAGGAGCTTATGGAACATGAAGAAGAGAAGACGGACACTTGTGATTTCATCAAATATTGGACTTGGACTCCGAAGTAGAGTATTTGCCTAGCATGCACAAAGCCCCTGCGTTCAATCCCCAACACCACAAAAAAAAAAAAAAAAAAAAAAAAACTTAGGCTCAGCTAGTTGCTCTAGTACATGAATCCCTTCCACAACAACTCTGCCTGATAGTCTTTTGGTTTTAGCTTCAAATCAGATAATAGAGACATTGTAAAAATTCTCACATTGCATATCAACTTCATAATTTTTTTTGCAAATTGGTGTGTTGGGGCCTGTGGGCCTGTCCCAAGAAAGAGAACCACATATACCCTCAGTGAGTATTTCCTCCAAAATTAGAGAGTGTTCTTGGTTCTTGCTTGCCAAGGCTTGTTCTCCTCTATCCTCTGCAGGTGTGTATCCTCTCTTTGGACGTAATGCTTCCAATCTCTCAGGAGCTGCCTTGCGAGTTCATGTGGTTCTTTCCTCTCTTTCTCCACACACTGAGCCCACTCATGAACTGGACTCTGTGGACTGCAGTAGTCACAGTGAGTCTGAGCAGCTCTCCAGAAGGAATGATGAAATCCAGCTCTCTCCACCTGGTGGCCACCAAAAGTCTGCCTCCACCCAGGTCCCCTGCAACAGCACCACCTCTGAAGTCTGCCTGGCCCAGGAGGACCCTGCTGAGTTGGAAAGAACTTTTGCAGTCAGTATCCTGGTAGAAAGAGCAATGCACTTGAGCTTGAAAGGTAGGCTTTGCTTATTTATCCTGGGGCAAATTTCTGACTTCTCAGGATATGGTCCTATCTTCACAAACCTTTCAAATCAAGACAGGACCTATAAAAGTGATTAATTACTAATAATTATTATATTTCCCAAGCCTAAAATAACATGAAAGCTTTTTTGAACTTAAAACTGATCTTTTTCAATATCCTAATGTGGCATATCATAAATTCCCCAGTCTAGAAACTTGGACATCTACCTAGATATTTCTCTTTTTTTTATCTACCATCATATCATCGCATCTATTGTTCTGTATCTTAAATTTCTCAGAAATCTCTTCTTCTCCATTGCCACTCACTCAGGCCTTCAATATGTACCTGGAATCAGGGAATTCTTAACAGTAGATCCATAAACCCCCAAGGGATTCATAAATGAAACTGAGGGTTGGTGACTTGGATAAGAAAATAATTACATTTTAATTTTTATTAACTGCTAATTAGAATTTTTTAAATTTTTTACTCTAATTAAAATTTTTAATTTTTTAAAATAGTACCTGTGATGTCATCAACAATAGAAATCACAGGTATTTTTATATCACATTATAATTATTGCAGATATCTTGGAATATTATTTATACTTATCAGTGCTTTGAAATTACAGCAGTTGTTGCCATAAGATCTTGTTAATTAAACATATCCATATCACAAAATTCTTTTAAGTTTCCCTGACTGTTTCAGTCTAATTGCATTTCCTTATAATCATGGGTATTTTATGTTGTTTTTAAGACAGAAATGCACTAAGTTTCTGAGGCTGACCCTAAACTTGCAGTCCCCCATCTCAGCCTCCCAAGTGGCTGTAATTACTATCACGCCTGGCTTCTGTATTACACATTTTAAAGAAACATTGTTAAAAGGCCCAAAGACTTCATCTGACAGTTAAAGGAATTCATGGCATAAAGAATTCCTTCCCTACCTTTATTCAATCTTGCACTCTCCCCTAAATTTTCCCCTTGTTGTCACTCTTTTCTTTTGCCTGGTTCATTCCATCTCTTCTCCCAAAGACTCAAATCAAACATCACCATGTACCAGAGGTGATGTAAAGGCCCCCTTCTGTTTGCTCCCTTACCACTTTTGCCTTCTTCAGTGTTGTGTCTTATCACATGGTACTAAAATTGTTTCCATGATTTTCTTCTTCACTAGATTTAAGCAGCTCAAGAGCAAAGACCTTATCTCATTTGTTTATTCAAAATGCAGTCATTCATGTGGCAACAAAACTTATTTGCTATGTGCTATGCACTGTCTTTAGTGCCAGGGATAAATCAGTGAATAAGATAGACAGTGTGGTGCCCTTGTGGAAATTATATTCTGTAGAAACATTCATCTGTGTACCCCTAACCAATAGGGTACATACGAACATGCATGCATACATGCATGTCAATTTTTTAACAAGTTATCCTTTCTTTGTCTCAAATTTTTCATCCATAGCTCTGAAGACTGGGGTTGTGGCTCAGTGGTAGAGCACTGAGTCTCTGGGCCTTTTAGCATGTGTGAGGCACTGGGTTCAATCCTCAGCACAACATATAAATAAATGAATGAAATATAGGTCCATCAACATCTAAAAAAAATTAAAAAGAAAAAGCTCTGAGAAACTTTCTATTATGAAACAACATTAAGCTGTACAGGGTAGCACATGCCTATAATCCCAGCTGTTCAGGAGGCTGAGGCAAGAGAATGGCCTGAGCCAAGGAGTTCAGGGCCAGCCTGGGTAACATAGTGAGACCCCTGTCTCAAAACAACAACAACAAAAACAAACAAAAAAAATAACAGCTTTAATTCAGTACTCTTAAGATTTTTTCATACTCACATTTGACATGACAGTTCTATGTCTAGCTCTGTTTTATAAATGAGGCAGCTGAAAAACTAAGAGGTAATTTGAAGGAATATAAATTATGCCCAGGAAACAAAATTAGCTACAGTATCATCAACTCCTAGAGGTGCTCATTAGCCTACCCAGGCAGGAGGACAGGCATTCCTGGGTTCCCACTTTTAGCATAGTGTTTATCTTAGTGCATTTTAATGATCTCTTTTTATCTGTCTCTCTCAGATCAAGAATTAAATATGACTCATCTTGTGCATATGTGACACAGAGGTGTCAATTAATGTTAGCTTAAGAGAACTGGACTAAATTTGTATAATATATAAAATTAGGCAATACTTGAGGGGAAAATTTTCCTAGCCTAAAGTGAAAATCACTTTAGGCTAAAGGGGAAAGCTCTTCTCCTAACTAAATAGAGTTACTTAGAACTATTACAGTGGAAAAACCCTAGAGAAGGAGTCAGGAAATCTGGCTGGTTCTTCCAAATTCTAGTTAACCAGGTGCAGGATGAGTGAGCCACTTTGCTTTCTGTTCCTTGGTTGCCTTATTTGTAAAATAGGGAGAGAGACACCTATCTTAGGTGATTTTCATAAGTATGATCAGCATGAGTTTAGTGTGTATAAGAAAACACTTTCTTAAAACAAAAGAAGTTGTTTTAATCTCATTAAAACAATTATGCCATTCTTGATTCATAAGGCTATTTTCATTCTTATGGAAAACACAGGAAATTCAGTGAAAACTCTGGAATGATAAAAATGATTCTGCTCAGGTCTTCTTAACTGTTCTCAATGTGTGTCTCAACCCTGTGAGAGGAATAGTGATTTTCTTCTGGGCCACCTCCAAATGTGTTTGAGAACTTGACCTTTTCCAGAAACATAAACAGGCTCAAATAAATTTATACACAAGGGGGAGAGACAGGGAATCCTGATTTATCACCTGCCTGTTTGGCTCAAAGGAGCATTTCTGCTTAAGACTGATTAAAGAACAATTTTCTTCCAAAGTCAAAATAGTAATTTTGTTTCAAGGCTTTTAGCAAATAGTTGCTTTACAAGTAAAACTCAGTGGGTGGGAAGCCAGTGGTATGAAAAAGAGATCTGAGCAATATTGGTGTACATCTAGAGTTAGAATTTTACTGTGAAGCTGGGCATGGTGGTGTATGCCTATAATCCCAGCAACTCTGGAGGCGATTCCAAGTTCAGCGTCAGCCTCAGCAACTTAGTGAGGTCCTATGCAACTTAACCAGACCCTGTCTCAAAATAAAAGCTAAAAAGGACTTGGGATGTAGCTCAGTTGTAAAGTGCCCTTCGTTCAATCTCAGATACAATATATATAGTGGAAAGTAATTGATAGCACATTTCAGATGAGGAAACTGAGGTTGAAGGAACTAGAATGAGGTGGTATACTAAATTAGTGTTTGAGAACATGGGAAACAAGTTATCTTGACCCTCTCAGAATAGCAGGTAATCCTCTCTGATGATCTGTCTGTTTCTGGAAACCTCTGCTTGTGTGCATGCAAGCAGATGAGTCAGCTTTTCTCTCCTCCAACCCTGGCAACCTTCTGTAAACAGAGGGCAGAGGTGATTCTGCAAACCTATTATAAGGGCATTGGGCCCTTTTGTGCATCCTCAGTCTACTGAAGGAAACACAGATTACTCTAGAATACTGTGAGAACTGCTGTGATAGAGGCAGGTTATCTCTCCCTAATTGTGAGAGTTTACATTTCATTAGAAGAAATCAGTTGAACAGCTTAAGACCACCAGGTACAGTGGCATATCTATAATTCCAGCTACTCCGGAGGCTGAGGCAGGAGGATTACAAGTTCAAGACCAGCCTGAACAACTTAGGAAGATGCTGTCTCAAAATAAAAAAGGAGAATGTAGCTTGGTGGGAGAACTCAGGCCTAGAGTGTACAAGGCCCTGAATTCAATCTGCAATACCATAGAGGAAAAAAGAAGAAGAAAAAGAAGATGAAAACCCACAAAGGAAAGTAGGGAGTGGGAGGTTGTATCAGGCAGAGTCTAGTTGTAGGAAACAGAACCCACTCTAGCTGTTTTTAAGCAGAAACCAGGTTAGTATGGAATATTAAGGTATTTCACGTCATTGGAAAGGCTTAAAGGACTGGGCTTTAGGCTAAACTTTCATGAGAGAACCTCTTAATCTTTTAAGTTCAAGATACAGTGCCAAAACAAATTCAAGAATCACAAACTATCCTCATTGCCATTACCAGGGCCTGTCTATATCCAGGACCAAACCCTGGAGCAGAAAACAATATCTCTGCAGGTTCCTTATTATTAGCAAACACAGGAGGTGAAGGATGTCTTCTGCCTCATGTATGCCATCCACATCTTTTGTGAAGGTTATCTTAAGTGGTAGAGATCAATTTCCCTCCATATCCTAGTTGTATGTGTCTTGGAAATATAGTTTTTAACACTTTCAATCTCTATAATCAAGGAATATAATACAATGAAAGTAGGTGGGGTAGATGCTAAGCAAGTCAATAATATAAGTATTATTTAGTTACACTAAAATAAAACTTTTTAAGAAGATAGCTCACTAGATAAAGGTATTATTAGTGCTATTCTGTACTTTTTAAGTGAATAATGATGAGTACTATTTCCATTAAATATTCTTTGCTTACTTCCATTTTGTTAGAATCATCTTTCCTTGTTCTTTCACCAATATGCTTATAAAATGGTTTTGCCATATTGTAGCCAATGGTATTATTTGATTCCTCATATGGTTTTTTGTTTGTTTTGTTTTATTTTCGTACTAGGGATTTAACCCAAGGGCACTTTACCATTAAATATATGCCCAGCCCTTTTTATTTTATTTTTTTTTAAGATCGGTCTCACTCAGTTGCTTAGGGCCTCATTGTGTTGCTTAGGCTAGCCTGAAACTTACCATCTTGCTGCCTCTGCTCCTGAGCTGCTGGGATTACAGGCATGTGCCACTGCCTGGTCCTTCTATAGTTCTTCTATACTTTAGTCCTTTTCCAATTCTAAGGCTCCCCTATCTGCTTTATTTCCCACTAGGTCTCACTTGTGAAATTAGCAGGTCTCTTCCTCCACTTCAGTTCTTTTCCAGGGCCTCCTCACAAAGTCTCCATTTCTCCCTTTTCTCTTTCTGTCACCCAATTTCTTTCATTATTGTGCCCAGTAAAAACTATAAAAGTAATGCTTGCTGGTCTGATTTTGTATCCTGAAATGCTTGAGTCATGAGATTAAACAGCATGACACATCAATCCTTTACCAAAATTTGGGGACAAAAATGCTTTGCTTGGTTTAAACAAATATGTCTCTATGATGGAACATAATATAAAATCTTTTTATTGATTTTTTTTAACTTTTTAAAAAATATATTTATTTTTTTTAATTTATGTATTTTTATGTGATGCTGAGGATCAAACCCAGTGCAAGCTTTCTACCACTGAGCTACAACCCCAGCCCTGAACTTGATTCTATGATGGAAGTGTTCTGTGTCTTCGTTGTTTAGTATGGTGGCCATTTGCCCCATACAGCTATTGAGCATTTCAAATATGATTAGTATAAACAAAGAACTGACTTTTTTCCCCTCCTGTGTTGGGATTGAACCCAGGGCCTTGCACATGCTAGGCAAGTGTTCTACATCTTCAGCCCAGGAAATGAATTTTAATCATATTTAATTTTAATTAATTTAACATTGAATAGCCACCTGTGGCTAGTCGGTTATCTTATTAAACAGCTAAATTAGACTATCAAGTATCATCCACCATCTTCATTTTAAATTGTTTTAAGACAGAATAAATGACTTCACTGAGTCTCCCACTTTGGAAACCTGATCTTATAAAAATTAACACCAGCACAGTACCCAGTGTTTCACGCAGTACTATGGGATTCTTTAACACTCCATTGAGGCAAAAGTAGGACATGGTTTAGAACATGGATCCTGGAGCCTGAATGCTTAAATTTCACTTTCCGTTCCACCATTTAATAAATGTGTGACCAACTAACTTAATCTCTCCGTACCACAGGTTTTTAAAATCTATAAAATGGGAATAATAATAGAAAAATGCCTGTCTCATAGGGTTATGTTAAGGATTCAATGAGTTAATATATGTAAATTTCTTTGAACAGTGCCTGTGATATTGTGGCACTGATTCCATCTACTATTAGTGCATATTTTTAATCCTTATAACCATCTTAGGTTGTATAAGTATAATATGTCCCATTTTACTTGAAGGAACTGTGACCTAGACAGTCCTTGCCCAAGATCACACAGAACATGTATGGTAGAGCTAATAATTGATCGTCTGACTCTTAAGTCTAAGACTGCAGTTTTTTCTCCTCTCCCTGGTATTCCCATCATCCCATGAAGAGATGGGAGAAGTCCCTTCTTGCTGCGGATTGTTTATGAACAGAGCCTTAAAAGAACAATTGCAGTAGTAGAAAGATCACTAGACACATTGTAGGTACAGGGAGTAACTCAAAGACCCAAACGTCAAAAAGGGCTAGAAATGATCCTGCTTGTACTGTATAGTGGGAGGCTACTTCTAGCACATTCTTTTTGGTACCCTAAAGTATAGTCACTCTATGTTCTATTTCAGGGAGCCCCTTGACAGAGCGAAAAGTATCAATACCCAGTTGTTGTGTATCCTTTGCAACAGCTGATGAGCCATCTCCTGTATACACCCAAGTGATTGAAAACACAGATTCTCCCATCTGGAATTTTCAACAGCAGTCAAGGTTTGTATTTGCTGATGTTCCATTGACCTCCCAGAATCTGCCTTTTGTTCCAAGAGAAAAGCACAAAGTAATTAACACAATATTTAAGCAGACCTAAAAAATACTTTTCTTACGCAGGCAGTTATTTAATCCTAGTGCTTATGAATTCACTAGTGCTAACAGTGGTTTAACTCTAATCAGTAGCATTCAGAAAGTATTCAGTGAGGCAGCCACTTATATACCCTCCTCTATTATAGGCACTGAGCATTGAAATTCTCTGCTATTGAGTTCAAGGTCTAACTAGGAAGAAACACAAATAAAAAATTACAATTAAGTGTGACACATGCTGTAACAAAAGTAAAAAGGATGCTAGTGGAGCTCAGAATAAAAAGAGTATTTGGGCCATCCTGAAAATTCAGAATAAGCTTCGTAAATAAGATACCTCTGCTAAATATTGAAGAATGTATGGGCTGGGGCTGGGACTCAGCTATAGAGCACTTGCCAGGCATGTGTGAGGCATTGGGTTTGAGTCTCAGCACCACATATAAATAAATAAAATAAAGGTCTATCAACAACTTTAAAAAAAAATTGAAGAACATATACAAGTTGTTCAGTTGAAGTAGGGTGAAAAGAGCACTCCAGTCAGAGAAAACAAACCTCAGGAAAGGCTGTGTTTTTTTCATTCTTGTAAAATACTCTGGAGCCTTGGCTTTGGAACCAGAGAGACTTGACCTCTAACCCCATCTCTGTTATTTACGAGCTGTGTGAACAAGTTAGTTCAGATTCCTTATCTGTAAAACAAGTATAATTTTTATAGGGTTATTATAAAGTTCAAATTAGAAATACTACTTCACAGTACATAGTATGTGTATAACAAACATCAGCTCTCCTTTAATAAGCTCAAAAAATAGCAGGTGGAGTTTTTGTCAATCATGTTGCCAAGGTAGGGGGCTGGCATAGAAGGTCCACAAGTGGGGTGCAGTGTTTGTCCTTCCTTTTCTTCTCTTACTCTGAGCATCATTAAATATGTGGATGCTAATGCTAATTATCATTACACTGCCTCACCTTTTACAAAATTTAATTCTTGTCCACCAACACTAGCCATAGTACATACTCTCTAATCTATTTTCTCGCAGCATTCGTATACTTGAGTCTCATCATTTGCTCACATGTTCAGTTTTGTATAATTTGAGAGGCTGGCCTGAGTCAGAAGCTGAAAACTTAGCAATATTATAGTGAGCTACTGGAAATTACAGAAATTCGGGACATAGTAACCAGGGTACTCATCTAAAATATTAAATCTACCCCAAAAGTCAGGAAACCAAAAGATTAAGCTTCTAAGTGGAGGCAGCCTAACAGAATAATTATAAAACTTCACAAACTCAATGAAGGGACTTTTAGCAAGCTCCCTGAACTTTACAGTTGAGGAGATTGTGGCCAAGGGAGGTTACATACTTTTGTTGAAAACAAAGGCAGGATTAAAAGAAAAATGAATAGTAGTGCTGCTTACAATATCTTTATCACAAAATTAAGTCTACAATTAGAATCCTAACACTGTGTTACTTTCATTTTAGCATACTGTCTTTTTTTGATCTTGAAGTAGACTCTCCAGTAGGTTTACTAGTGCTGTTTAGGGAATGAAATGAAGTCTCTTTGTTTTCTCTGGATCTCCATCTTGCTCACCTAAAGTAGTGGCCCCTGTTTTAGAACTTCAAACTTTAGCTTTTAATTGAGAACTGCAATTTCCTTTATATAAAATATATTAGAGGTTGTTAGTAAATTCCACTTCAGCTTCTTTATTTGCTTTGAAAGTTGGGCACATTCTTATTTTGTTGCCTTGCCTCTGCACAGTGTAGAAGAGTCAGGTGTTCAAAGTTCAAATCCAGCCCTGCTATTTACTCTTATATAACCTTAAGTAAATCACTTTTCCTCTCTGAGCCTAGCTTCAGGATTATAAAACAGGATTATAGCACCCATGCCACAGGTTTTCATGTTGATTAAATATATATGAAACACATAGTACTATGCCTGCACAGGTAGGTGTTTAATAATTGTTGTTTTTTTTTTCTCTTCCATTCTTACTATTCTCTCACCTTAAAACTTCAAAAGAATCCTTACCCACTTCCAATAAAACTGTTAATTACATGTTGAGAAGCTTCCTTCCCATACTCAATTCCCTTAGAGAAACAGTTTGAATGTAAATACCAGGGTGAAGGGGAAGTGCTGCAGCTTGGGAAACTGTTTTCAAGTCTTGGCAAGTTATTTCATCTCTCTGTGCTGCCTGTCCCCTCATTTTGACCATGAAGATAAAAATATATTTTAGAAGATGCCTGTGAGGATGAAGTGAAACAATACTGGGAAATTATTTTGCAAACTACAAGAAATCTGCAAATCTAAGATTCATACTACAGAAGATTCCTACAGTTAATTTATGGTGATTGTTTTTCTCAATAGGCTATCAAAAGAGCTGCTTCTGGACCCACAGCAAACCCTGGTCTTCAAAGTTTGGCATAAAGGAGGTATGAACTCTGTTCTGTGAATATAAAAATAAGCTATGTCCTGTTGACAATTTGCAGTCTTTTTTTTTTACCAAGTGAAGCCGTGGCATTGATGGTGCTAAGGATGCAGATATTTGGGGATTGGGAGAAATCCCACAGAAGGCCACAGTGTTCTCCAGTGGAATTTAATACTTAGAAATCATATTTTGTTTATTACCTGCTTAGTGAAGAAATCCAAATGCATTTGAATGTTTCCAGTTGTGTCTGTCAGTAACCAGTGCCCAGCATGCCACATACATGTCATTTCTCTCCACTTCGTGTCATGATAAGGCCTTTCACTGATTGGTTTATTAAGCAAGAGACACTAGCATTTTAAGGCAGTACAAAAGAAAACTTATTTTTCCTTGTTTTAAAAACTCAGAGAGATGCTGACATCATGGTCCTTGAACCCAGTTTTACTCAACTACCATTTATTCAGCGGCATAACCCAGTCGTGTTAAAAACATTGGTTCTGCTGGCACAATGGTACACACCTGTAATTTCAGTGGTCAGGAGGCTGAAGCATGAAGGTTGCAAGTTCAAGGCCAGCCTCAGCAACTTAATGAGGCCCTTAGTAACTCATGGAACTCTGACTCAAAATACATGCATTTTTAAAAAGGAGCTGGGAATGTGGCTTAGTAGTTAACCACCCCTGGGTTCAATCCCCAGTATCCCCCCACCAAAAGGAACATTGGTTCTGAAGCCAGACTTTGGATTCATATGCCAATTCTGCCCTTTACTGTCGCAATATGACTTTTGGTAAATTACTTAACTTCTCTGTGCTTCAGTTTTCACATCTATAAACTAGGAAAAATAATAGTACCTACTTTAGAGGGTTTTGAGAGAAGTAAATAAGAGCCTGACACTTATGAATACCCTGTCAATTTTTATTGTATTTATTAACAAGTGACAGTGTCCAAGAACTTGACAGACATCTCTAATCTTGCAAGGTGCAAATACAATTAATCTGATTTCATAAATGTAAAAGCTGAGGCCCAAGGAAGTTTAGTGGCAACTAAAGTTGTATAGCTATTAATTGGTGTAGTCAGGATTCAAGCTCAGTTCTGAACTAACTATCCAACCTTCACTGCTTATACTCCACCATGCTGGTAAGTTTAGATGTCGCAGAAAAATGAGGTGTTAAGGATGTCCCACCATCTCACAGTTTAGTAAGCTTAGTAAATTTTATTTCACTATATCCCTCTTATAAATCTAATTCCTTTAGCATTCCTGCTGGGGGATGGGGATGTGGCTAAGTGATAGAGTGCTTGCCTAGCATGCGTGAACATTGGATTTGATCCCCAGCACCACCCAAAAAAAAAAAAAGATCCTACTAGGGCTTGTTTCCAAACCTTCATCAATTTGGAGTCACCTACAAAGTCACAGTATTTTGTTGGCCAATGCTAATTTTCAGTATTGACCACAAAGCCTAAAAGACCAGAGTAATCAGGGTGTTACATAAGTTACATAATGTATTTCTGCTTGTGTTCCTGTTTGTGAGGGCTGCTTTGTTCTTTTTTTTTTTTTTTAATAATGTTATTGTATTTTATATACCTTTATTTTATTTACTTATTTTTATGTGGTGCTGAGAATCAAACCCAGTGTTTCACATGTGCTAGGCAAGCACTGTACCACTGAGCCACAACCCCAGCCCTTTGTTCTTGTTTTGATGGTTAGTTCCATGTTGCTGCTAGCTAGTCAGCTAGCTAGTCCCACCATTATCCAGCCTCATCAATGCAGAAAAACTTAAAAATCAGATTTCTTTAAATCAAAACAAGAAATTCCTGCAGTATTTAGCTGGGATTCTCACTCTTCTCTTGCTTTCCCCCCACCCCTCTAAAGTGCTAGAGAAATCATCAAGTAGACCAGGGTTCACTTCAATTCAATAGCAAGAAAAAAGAATAAGCTTTGGCCATATGCACACCTGGGTTCAAATTTTGACTCTGCCACTTAATAACTATATGACCTGAAATAGATCATTTTATCTCTTCTCTCTTCCTCATTTTTTAAATTAGGATAATAGTACTTGTCTTTCAGGATTTCATGAGGACTAGAAATGATATATGTAAAATACTTGGCACAAAATTGTTGCTTAATAAGTAGAGATACTTTTATTATTATGCTGATACTGTTCTAGGGCTATTGGGTATAGAGAATAAATTGCAGATTTTCAGACTCTCTAGAGGGTCTTGTAAGATTCTGTTTTAAATGAAGGTGAAGAAAATGCTAGACCAAACTAAGCAATATTTATCTAATTCTCTCAGTGTGTATAGACTTCTCTTAAATCCATCCTTTCCACACAGATTCAGCAAATCTATTATAGAAAGTACTCAAAGCAGTACACAAAGGCTATACTCAACAGATATTTGAATTCCTACTCTGTGTCAATCACTATGACAAGTGCCAGGGATAGACATGGTCCCTGACCTCACAGAGCTTACAGCCAGTGAGGGACACAAAAAATATATAGTTTAGTATGATTAGGCAATCCAGGGTACTCTGAAAGGGAACATCTAACCCAGACCTAGGATATTAGAGGCTTCTCAGAACACACCTCAGCTGAGAAACAAAGGAGCAGAACATTCTGTAAGAGGGGACTACAAATAGAGTAACCTGTGTCGGTTTTCCAGGGGATTATCTTCTTTTTGTAATTTGTGTTCATTTGTTCTTAATTAGATATAATAAATATGTATATCTTAGAAAATTTGGAAAATACAGATAAGAATAAATAAGAAAATGCAAATCTCTTATAATTCCATAGTTTCAAAACTCACTGCCCTGAGGAAAATCACTGAGATATGATAACCAAGGGAAAAGAACAAGTGTTCCTTAAATTAGGGATATTTTCTAGTTAACGTATATCATAAGGACAAGGCTCAACCCTGCCATTTTTTCCCTCACCTTGCAGAAAGGGAATTCATAGCAGGCTCTTGTTACCAGCTCTTTCAACCTCATCATCTGTCTTTTTTGATGGCTTTGGAATCACTAAACTTCTGAAGTTGCCTGATCAGCTTCTCTGTGCAGCCTCTAATCTCACTGGCAGGGTGTGCCCAGCCAAGCTGCCCAACTCTTCTGTTTCTTCCACAGATGAAGAGAGGGTGATTGGCTTTGCCTCGGTGGACCTCTCCCCATTGCTGTCTGGCTTCCAGTTCATCTGTGGCTGGTATAACATCACAGACTTCAGTGGAGAGTGCCAGGGGCAGATAAAAGTTGCTATCTCCCCTTTGGAGAGTTTGATACACTTCAAAGAAGAAAGACAAGCAAGGCGTGGGGTGGAGACCCCAGGAACACTGGTATGTATCCTGATTCACATCTAACTAGTAAGGGTCCTACTGAGCAAAGCCCATAAGATCCTGTACGCTGGTGCTTTCTGACTTATAGAACACATTATATTTTCGTATTTCTTAACAACCTCCTGGTTTTGGGGGAGTGATGAAAATGTTCTAGAATTAGGTAACAGTAATAGTTATACAACTCTGAATATACTGGAAACCAGTTAATCAAACACTTTTGTGTGTGTGTGTGTATGTGTGTGTCTGTGTGTGAGAGAGAATAGATCTTTGGGTGTTAGGCTTATTTTTTTAATTTTTATTCTAATTTGTTATATATGACACCAGAATGCATTACGATTAATATTACATATATAGAGCACAATTTTTCATATCTCTGCTTGTATACAAATATATTCACACCATTCGTGTCTTCTTCATACATGTACTTAGGGTAGTGATGTTCATCTCATTCCACCATCTTTTTTTTTTACCCCCTTGTCCCCTTTATCCCCTTCCCTCCCCTTTGCCCTATCTAGAGTTTGTCTAATCTTCCATGCTACCCCTCCCAACCTCACTATGAATCAGCCTCCTTATATCAGAGAAAACATTTGGCATTTGGTTTTCTGAGATTGAATAACTTCACTTAGCATTATATTCTCCAACTCCATCTTTTTACCTGCAAATGCTTTGATTTTATGCTCTTATTGCTGAGTAATATTCCATTGTATGTGTGTGTGTGTGTGTGTGTGTGTGCGTGCGTGTATGTGTATCTCACATTTTCTTTATCCATTCATCTCCTGAAGGGCATCTAGGTTGGTTCCACAGTTTAGCTATTGTGAATTGTTCTGCTATAAACATTGATGTAGCTGCATCACTGTAGTTTTTAAGTCCTTTGGGTATAAACTGAGGAGTGGGATAACTGGGTCAAATGATGATTCCATTCCCAGTTTTCCAAGTAATCTCCATACTGCTTTCCATATTGGCTGCACCATTTTGCAGTCCCACAAGCAATGTATGAGTGTGCCTTTTCCCCCACATCCTCGCCAACAATTATTGTTGTTTGTATTCTTAAGTAGCTGCCATTCTGACTGGAGTGAGAGGAAATCTTAGAGTAGTTTTGATTTGTATTTATCTGATTGCTAGAGACATTGAGCATTTATTCATATATTTGTTGATTGATTGTATATAACCTTCTGAGAAGTGTCTGTTCAGTTCCTTGGCCCATTTGTTGATTGGGTTATTTGTTGTTGGTTTTTTGTTTGTTTGTTTTGTTTTTTTTGTTTGTTTTGTTTTTTGATGTTTAGCTTTTTGAGTCCTTTATATACCCTAGAGATTAGTGCTCTATCTGATGTGCAAGTGGTAAAACTTTGTTCCCAAGTTGTAGGCTCTCTATTCACCTCACTGATTGTTTCTTTTGCTGAGAACCTTTTTAGTCTGAATCCATTCAATATTAATTCTTGAGTTTAATTCTTGTGCTATAAGAGTCTTGTTAAGGAAGTAAGGGCCTAATCCAATATGATGGAGATTTAGGCCTACTTTTTCTTCTATTAGACTCAGGGTCTCTGATTAACTCCTAGGTCCTTGATCCACTTTGAGTTGAGTTTTGTGCATGGTGAGAGATAGGGGTTTAATTTCATTTTGTTGCATATGGCTTTCCAGTTTTCCCAGCACCATTTGTTGAAGAGACTATCTTTTCTCCAATGTATGTTTTTAATGCCTTTGTCTAATATATGATAACCATAATTATGTGGGTTAGTCTCTGTGTCCTCTATTCTGTACCATTGGTCTACCTGTCTATTTTGGTGCCAATACCATGCTGTTTTTGTTACTATTGCTCTGTAGTATGGTTTAAATTCTGGTATAGTGATGCCACCTGCTTCACTCTTCTTGCTAAGGATTGCTTCATCTTTCTGGGTCTCTTATTTTTCCAGATGAATTTCATGATTGCTTTTTTATTTCTCTGAGGGTTGCCATTGGGATTTTGATTGGAATTGCATTAAATCTGTATAATGCTTTTGGTTGTATGGTCATTTTGACAATATTAATTCTGCCTATCCAAGAACAAGGGAGATCTTTCCAACTTCTAAGGTCTTTAATGTGCTTTAGTTTTCATTATAGAGGTCTTTCACCTCTTTCATTAGGTTGATTCCCAAGGTTTTGTTTTGTTTTGTTTTGTTTTTGTTGTTGTTGTTGTTTTTGAGGCTACTATAAATGGAGTAGTTTCCTCATTTCCCTTTCAGAGGATTTGTCACTGATGAACAGAAATGTCTTTGATTTATGGTGTTGGTTTTGTATTCTGCTACTTTTCTGAATTCATTTACTAGTTCTAGAAGTTTTCTGGTGGAATTTTTGGGGTCTTCTAGGTATAGAATCATATCGTCGGCAAATAGTGATAATTGGAGTTCTTCTTTTTCAATCTGTATCCCTTTAATTTCTTTCGTCTGTCTAACTGCTCTGGCCAGTGTTTCAAGAAGTATGTTAAATAGAAGTAATGAAAGAGGGCATCCTGTCTTGATCCAGTTTTTAGAGGAAATGCTTTCAATTTGTTTCCATTTAGAATGATATTGGCCTGGGGCTCCGCATAGATAGCTTTTACAATGTTGAGATATGTTTCTTTTATCCCTAGTTTTTCTAGTGTTTTGAACATGAAGGGGTGCTGTGTTTTGTAGAATGCTTTTTCTGCATCTATTGAGATGATCATATGATTCTTATCTTTAAGTCTATTGATGTGATGAACTACATTTATTGATTTCTGTATGTTGAACCAACCTTGCATATCTGGGATGAATCCCACTTGATCATGGTGCATGATCTTTTTGATATGTTTTTATATTCGTTTTGCCAGAATTTTATTGAGAATTTTTGCATCTATGTTCATTGGACATATTGGTCTGAGTTCTCTTTTTTTGATGGGTCTTGGCATGGTTTTTGGAATCAGGATGATACTGACCTCATAGAACGAGTTTGGAAGCGCTCCCTCTTTTTCTATTCCTGAAATACATTGAAGAGTATTGGTATTATTTCTTCTTTAAAGGTCTTGTAGAATTTGGCTGTGTATCCATCTGGTCCTGGGCTTTTCTTGGTTGGTAGGCTTCTGATGGCGTCTTCTATTTCATCATTTAAAATTGATCTGTTTATATATCATCCTGATTCAATTAGGGCAAATCAGATGACTCTAGAAATTTGTCAGTGCCTTATTTTTATTTTATTGGAGTACAAATTTTCAAAATAATTTCTAATTATCTTCTGTATTTCTGTAGTATCTGTTGTTATATTTCCTTTTTCATCCCATATGTTACTAATTTGAGTTTTCTCTCTCCTTCTCTTCATTAGCATGGCTAAGGGTTTGTCAATTTTATTTATTTTTTCCAAGAACCAACTTTTTGTTTTGTCAGTTTTTTCAATTGTTTCTTTTTTTTCAATTTCATTGATTTCAGCTCTGATTTTTAATTATTTCCTGTCTCCTACTGCTTTTGGTGTTGATTTGTTCTTCTTTTTCTAGGGCTTTTGGATGTAATGTTAAGTCATTTATTTGTTGACTTTTTCTTCTTTTAAAGAATGAATTCCATGCAATGAACTTTCCTCTTAGTACTGCCTTCATAGTGTCCCAGAGATTTTGATACGTTGTATCTGCATTCTCATTCACCTCTAAGAATTTTTAATCTCCTCTTGATGTCTTTTGCAAACCATTGTTCATTCAGTAGCATAATATTTAGTCTCCAGGTGTTGGAGTAGCTTTTATTTTTTTATTTTATCATTGATTTCTAATTTCATTCCATTATGATCTGATAGAATGCAGGGTAGTATCTCTACTTTTTTAAATATTTTTTATTTTTTAGTTTTAGGTGGACACAATATCTTTATTTTATTTTTACGTGGTGCTGAGAATCAAACTCAGTGCCTCACACATGCTAGGTAAGCACGCTACCATTTGAGCCACATCCCCAGCCCCAGTATCTCTACTTTTTTATATTTGCTAAGAGTTGCTTTGTGGCATAATATATGGTCTATTTTAGAGTAGGATCCATGTGCTGCTGAGAAGTGGTAATACACAAAAAAGTATATTTGTTCATCGAGGATGAAATATTCTATATATGTCAGTCTTTGTTCAGCTTTTGTTTGGACGATCTATCCAGTGGTGAAAGAGGTATGTTAAAGTCACCCAGAATTATTGTGCTGTGGTCTGTTTGACTCTTGAACTTGAAAAGAATTGGTTTGATGAACAAAAATGCTCCATTGTTTGGGGAATATAAATTTATTATTGTTATGTATTACTGATGAATGGTTCCCTTAAGCAGTATGAAATGTCCTTCTTTATCCCTTTTGATTAACTTTGACTTGAAGTTTACTGTATTTGATATGAGGATGGAGATCCTTGCTTGCTTTCGCAGTTCATGAGAGTGGTATGATTTTTCCCAACCTTTCACCTTTAGTCTGTGGGTGTCTTTTTCTGTGATATGAGTCTCTTGGAGGCAGCATATTGTTGTGTCTTTTTTTTTTAAATCCAAGCTGCCTATCCATGTCTTTTTATTGGTGAGTTTAGGCCATTACATTCAGGGTTATTATTGACACATGATTTGTATTCCCAGCCATTTTTGTTTATGTTTGGTATTTAACCTGACTTGGCTTCTCCTTTGATTAGTTTTTCCTTTAGTGTAATTCCTCCCTTTGCTGATTTTCATTGTTGTTTTTCAATTCCTCTTCATGGAATATTTTGCTGAGGATGTTCTATAGTGTGGGCTTTTGAGTTGTAAATTCTTTTAACTTTTGTTTATCATGGAAGGTTTTTATTTCATCATCAAATCTAAAGCTTAATTTTTCTGTATATAACATTCTTGGGGCTAGGGATGTGGCTCAAGCAGTAGTGCACTTGCCTGGCATGCGTGTGGCCTGGGTTCAGTCCTCAGCACCACATACAGAGAAAGATGTTGTGTCCGCCGAAAACTAAAAAAATAAATAAATATTTAAAAATTCTCTCTCTCTCTCTCTCTCTCTCTCTCTCTCTTAAAGATTCTTGGTTGGCATCCATTTTCTTTCAGAGCTTGATATATGTTGTTCCAGGATCTAGTAGCTTTCAGGGTCTGGGTTGAAAAATCTGCATATAATCTAATTGGTTTCCCCCTATATGTAATCTGATTTCTTTCTCTCGTGGCTTTTAATATTCTCTCCTTATTCTGTATGTTAGGCATTTTCATTATAAAGTGACTTGGTGTGGATCTGTTGTGATTAAAAGTACATTTGGCATCCTGTAAGCCTCTTGAATTTGGTTTTTCAATTCATTCTTCATGTTTGGAAAATTTTCTGATATTATTTCATTGAATAGTTTGCTCATTCCTTTGGTTTGGATCTCTATTCCCTCCTTTATCCCAATAACTTAAATTTGGTCTTTTTATGTTATCCCATATTTCTGGAATGTTTTGCTCTTGTTTTATTATCATATTCACTGTATTATCTACATTATTTTCAGTATTATATATTTTGTCTTCATTGTCTGAGGTCCTATCTTCCAGGTGGTCTAATCTGTTGGTGATACTTTCAACTGAGCTTTAATCTGGTTTATTTTTCTTTCATTTCAAGGATTTCTGTTTGTTTTTTTAGAATTCCTTATTGAAGTAATCTTTTGCTTCCTGAATTTGTTTATGTAGCTCTTTGTCAAAATGATCTTTTGCTGCCTGTATTTGCTCTTATATCATCCTTTAATTTGCAGAACATTTTAATTATATACATCCTGAACTCCTTCCAGTAATTTCTTATGCTGTTCTTGCCATGGATTCTGATAATGTGGTATCTTGATTTGTTTGGGACACTTTCTTTCCTTTTTTTTTTTTTTTTCCTATTGCTTGTATTTCTTCCCTTCTAGTACTGTGGATCTTAAGTGTTACTGTTTTTACCTTATAGGCTTATAGTGCCCATGTAGGGATCTAGTACCTCTCCTTTGAGGTGAAGGACAATGTTATCAGTTCCTAATATAAACAGTGTACACCCTAAAAACAAATGTTTGGTATTAAGATGTTTACAGTTTGGTCACAATGTACAGAAATGGTGAATTCAGTATCCACAGTATACTCAGTAGGTTTGTAAAAAAGTTTACAGTTTCTGATGGAGGACAAAGAACCAGGAGGGAGGGTAGGATGATATGCTGAGGAGGTAGGAGGTGAGGATATAGAGTTGTTATATCTTAGGAAGTGTGAAAGAGAAATCCAAAGAGGAAGATTAGTAGCAGGAGAAGGGAAAGGAAGTAATTTGGGGTAGACAAGTAAGTGGGAAGGCAGTAGAGTACATAAAATAAACACACATATATATGGAGAAAAATTAAAAATGTTAAAATAGTAGCAATTGGTAGGATAAAAGAAAAAAAAAAAAAATATATATATATATATATATATATACACACACACAACACAGCTATAATATACTATTCAGACATCCCAGTCCTCAAAATCCTAATTCATGCAAAATACTTGGTTTCACATATGTTAGGGATGTGAGGGCAGGAGAATGGAGAGGTGGGGGGGGGGGGGAATCTTGAAGGAAGAAACAGGATTGTTTTGGTTGGAAGTCCATGTCTTTCCTGCTTCCCTTCTCATCCAATAGGTAGGTTGTCTGTTGTTAGCTGGTATCTCCACCCTCAGGATGTCACTATGCTGGGGTAGTGGCCTCTGGGGAGAGGAGGGAGTACATGACCAGCTGGAGTTCCAAACTGGGTGTTGCCTTCCACTGAAGAAGGTGATGAAGGTGGCCCAAGATGGAGGCGCCTTCTTTCAGCAGTGGGCTGTCGGGTAGGGTGTGGGGGGGCAAGCAGCGGCGTTGGAGGAGGAGTTCAGAGATGAGCTCTGTGGTGTGTGTGGCTATCAGCTGACTTCAGAGCCTGTGTGAAGTTCTTGGGTGCCGGGAACAGGCAGGCTATTGCACGTAGGGGAGTCTATCCGTTGCTGTAGAGTCCCAAGATGGTGGCCACCAGGGAGCCCCAGTTGATAGATGGGGGTTCACACAGGAGTAAGTTCTACGTGTGAGAACCTGCCGGTGTTCTGCATGGGAGTGGCCTTGGTGATTTCTGCTTGGTGCTTGGTGGGTGGCCGAAAGTTCTGTGCAGGTGTGGATGGTGCCCGCTCAGGTACCCAGTAGTCCTGCATGGGTGAGTAATTGGGTGGCTGTGATTCCTGCATGGGAGCAAGAATTTTGCTTGCAGAGAAGCAGTATTCTCACAACTTGAGTCCCAGGTCACTAAGCGACACAGAATGTTGCCTCCCTCTAGCCCACCACCTTGAATCTCCCCAAACACTTTTAAAGGATGAATTTTATGCTTCATGAAGTTTATCTCTGTTTTTAAATAAAATAAGATTAGTTGCAGTATAGAATTTGAAACCATATCTATTATTTTTTAAAAGTTTGTTACATTAAAATTATTGGTCTTTCACTTTAAAAAATAAGAAAGAATGGAAAAAGAGGAATAGGCAATAGTAAGTAGAGACAACTCTTTCAAAGAGTTCAACTGTTAAAGAAGAATTAAAAGAAAGAAATTTCCTAACTGTCCCAGATAGAGGAGCTCTGTTGAAGCAAAGACTTGTGTTTTGTTCATGTCTTCTTCATGCATCCTTGGCCCAGGGTCTGGCACACAGTATAAATCAATACCTACTGAATGGATAAATGCATTAGAAAATGACCAAGCGTTCATTGGTCTTTATATATAAAAGATATTTTTTCTTCCAATCAACCCTAATAGTTATAAGACAAGAAATACCATAGTCAGGGCTGGGGTTGTGGCTCAGTGGTAGAGCACTTGCCTAGTATGTGTGAGGCACTGGGGTTCGATCCTCAGCACCAAATAAAAATAAATAAATAAAATAAAGGTATTGTATTCATCCACAACTAAAAAAGAAAGAAAGAAAGAAATACCACAACCAGTTGGTCCTCACATGTAAAATAAATACAAGATAATGTCCAGCCAGAGTTTACAAACTAGCTGGAGGAACAAGAGCATAAATATAGATAAAACAACAAAAAAGCAATCTGATGACATAGTCCATAAAATAAGGATAATAATAGTACCTACTTCATAAGATAATTGTAAAGTTTAAATGAGAAAAATAAATGCTAATAGCTTAGCACAGTGCTCAACACATAGGAAACAGACTTCAGTGGAAACTCTACTGAATAAATTTTACAAGTTTATTTATATACTGCTTTGTTCCAAGAGAGTTCATGGTAACCAGTGTACTATTTTTCTCATTGCTTTTCAGATCCCAATATATAATACCTTTTCCTTCCCTGCCTCTGATATGTATGCTGCATTCCCCAGCCGTATTGTAGAACATATCCAGGACCAGCTTGTTCACACCTCTTCAAAGGAACTTGATTTCTCCTCTCCTGGGAAGTGAGTAAATGTCTTGATGGGAAAAAGTGGGGTCAAAGAGTGGAAGTATGTGAACTGCTTGTCATATCTCCTTCATTAGAGGAAGAAATTAGAGATAGGATAAAGCTTTGCTGATCTCACAATGCCCCCCACCCCTAACCCTAAGATCTGTGAAAATAGAATTTCATAAGATAGGAATTAAAAGTTTACTGTTATCAAAAGTATTACTTTGTTGCAAGAAACACTCTTATCCTCAGAGGCCTTTAACATTTTGGGAGAAATATATCATCTTTCCCCTCCCAAAAATATGCAGGCTGTTTTGCAGAGAGCCATTGGCCCATCCTTTTCACTAAGCCAACCGTCATCATATATTTGATATCAGGGCTAGAGCATGCTCCATCTGGTCAAGGAGACAGGCCCAACAGTAAGATTGCTTCTTTCCACTCCACTCCCTTTCAGACCCTAGTGGCTTCCACCAGAGAGTCTTTGCTGTGTCTTTCCTCCCACCTTAGGGAGGAGGCAAGGAGTCTTCTCCCACCACACCCACTCCAGAATAGCAGTTAGTGAGTTGACCCTTTGTTCTAAAACACCCTCTCATACTGCTTACACACTCCAAGTCCTGTTCCTTTGGTAAGTAATTTTCTATTTGGTCACCGTATGAAGAGATTCTCTTTTCTATGTATAGAAAGAGCTATGTGTCTGTCAAATCCTAGATCCAAGGTTTAGATAATTCTTTTGTTATCTGTAAGTATTGTTTGACCATAATCAATCAGAGACACATGGGTGGGATGAGAATGTCTCTAATGTTCATTGTTTAGTAATTTGAAAAGCAAAAAGTTTAATGGTTTGCTTTTTTTTCCACATAAAAATGTCCCTGTTACTTTTTTACAAAGACCATATCAAAATGTCACATTCTAATCCAGCCATTCATCCAAGGGTAAACTGTAATTCCCTCTCTAACCACCTCACCTAACAGAAATCCAACTGTTTCTGACCCTTCCTTGTTCCAAGTCTTGGTGGTGAAGTGTATTGGAGATCAGACAGATTTGGAGTTCTGTCCTGGCTTTTTCTCTCATTGGTTATATGTGATCTTAAACTAATTACTTAAATTCTCTGAGCCTTAGCCTTAATTTTCTTATTTGTTAAATGAAAGTAATATATTACTCAAGGGTTGTCATGAATAGTAAATGAGAAAAGAAACAAATCATTTTTACACGCATGTAATAATACATGTGACCCCGGCATGGTGGTGCATGCCTGTAATCCCAGTGGTTTAGGAAACTGAGGCAGGAGGATCACAAGACAACCTCAGCAAAAGCAAGTCATTAAGCAACTCAGTGAGATTCTGCCTCTAAATAAAATACACAAAAGGGCTGGGGATGTGGCTTAGTGGTTGAGTGCCCCTGAGTTCAATCCCCAGTACCCCCCAAAATAATAATAATAATAATAATAATAAATGTGAAACTCCTGGAGCAGCAGTTTCCAAGATTTTTATCTTTGTACTTTATTTATAACAGCCAAAAACTCTAAACAACTCAGGTGTCCATCAACAAATAGATGAACAGATAGCCAAATTGTGGTATATCCATATGATGGAATACTACTCAAAAATAAAAAGAAATGTATTATTGATAAACAACAAAATGAATCTCAAAATAATTACGCTGAGGAATAGAAGCTACAATAAAAGAATATGTTGTATATAATTCCATTTATATAAAATTCTAGAAGATGCATACTAAGATATAGTAACAGAAAACAGGTAAGTGGTTGTCTAGGGACAAGGCAAAGTGAAGAGAGAGGGAAGGAGAAAGAAATTACAAAAGGCAAAAAGAAACTTGGAAATAATAGATATGTTCATTATCTTGTGGTAATTATTTCCTTAGATGTTTACATGTATTGGAACTCATCAAATTGTATGCTTTAAATATATAACATTTACTGTATATTTTGGTTCTACCTTTGCAAAGCAGTGGTTCTCAAACATTTCCACTTCAGAACTCACTTTGCTCTTTAAAATTATTGATGACCCCAAAGAGATTTGTTTATTTGAGTTATATATATCAATTTTTAACATATTAGAATTGAGAAACTTTCAAAACTTACAAAATCAATTATATTTCTGTACACCAGCAATGAATCATCAAAAATGAAATTTTGAAAAGTTTTGTTTACAATAACACCAAATGGAATAAAAAAAATATAACAAAAGAAGTATTAAATGTATTCTGTAAAAACTACCATGTTTTATTGAAAGAGATTAAAGAGGATCTACATAAATGGGAAAATATCCCATATGTTTATAGATTGGAAGACTTAGTATTATTAAGATGGTAGCAATCCCCAAATTGATCTATAGATTCAACACAATTCATATCAAAAATGCTGTTAACTTCTTTCTGGAAATGGACAAACTGATCCTAAAATTCATATGGATGGTTAAGAAACACAGAAAAAGTAAAACAGCCTTAAAAAAAGAACAAATTCCCAATTTCAGAGCTTACTAAAAAGCTACAGTAAGCAAGAAAATACACAAGAATAGAAATGTAGATCAGTGGGATAGAAATGAAAATCCAAAAATAAACTCATAAATCTATGCTCAACTGATTTTCAACAAAAGTTCAAGATGGCTAAATGAGGAAAGAGTAGTCTTTTCAACAAATGGTATTTGGAACATCTGAATATCCACATATGGAAGATTGAAGTTGAATTTTTTTTTTGGTACCAGGGATCGAACTGAGGGGCACTTAACCACTGAACCACATCCCCAGCCCTATTTTGTATTTTATTTAGGTACATATATGGTCTCACTGAGTTGCTTAGCACTGTGTTTTTGCTGAGGCTGGCTCTGAACTTGTGATCCTCCTGACTCAGCCTCCGGAGCCCCTGGAATTTTAGGCAAGAGCCTATGTACCTACCAAACCTCTTCTTTGTACCATACAAAAAAAATTAACTACAAATGGTCACATGTCTAAATGTAAAAGCTAAAACTGTAGAATTTTTCAAAGAAAACACCTTTGTGAGTTTGGATTATATGGTGATTCAGATACGACAACAAAAGAAAAATAACAGATAAATTCAGTTTATCAAACTTAAAAACTTTCATGCTGCAAATGACATCACCAAGAAAATGAAGACACAGCCCATAGAATGGGAGAAAATATTTGCAAATCACAGATTTGACAAGGAATTTGTACCTAGATTATATAAAGAACTCTTAGAACTCAATAGTAAAAACCCAAATAACCTGGTAGGGGATGTGACTCAGTGGTAGAAGTGCTTGCCTAGCATTTGCAAGGCAAGCCACAATTTGCAAGTCATAATTCAATCCCCAGCACTGCAAAAAAGAAAAAGAAAAGAAAAGAAAAAAAAAAAAAAAGCAACCAATTGTTTAAATAGACAAGGAATCTGAATAGACATTTCTCCGAAAACAATGTACAAATGGCCAATAAGCATGAGATAGAAAACAAAACTACAATAAGATACCACTTTACATCCACTAAAGGTACTATAATCAAAAAGACAAATATTGCAAGTGTGAGGAAGAATGTGAAGAAATCAGAGCCCTCATACATTGCTTAGTGAGACTATAAAATGGTACAACTGCTTAGAAAAATAGTCTGGCAGTTCCTTAAAAATTTAAATGTATAGTAACCATTTAACCCAATAATTATACTCCTAAATGAAGAGATATGTCTACACAAAAACTTACATGTTTTCTTGTAGCAACATTATTCCTAATAACCAAAATGTAGAAACAACCCATATGTCCAACAAATGACAAGTAAATAAACAAAATGTGGTATAATTATACAATGAAATATTATTCGGCTATTAAGAGAAATGAAGTACTAATGCATATGATATGGAAGAGGCACAAAAACATGCCAAACGGAAGGAAAGTCACACAACAACAACAACAAAAAAAACATGTTATATGATCCCATTTCTTTGAACTATCCAAAATAGATAAATTATAGAGACAGAAGATAAATCAGTAGTTACCTAAGGCTGAGATGTTTTGGGTAGAAATTGGAATGATTGCAGTAGTTATGGGTTTTTTTTTTAATATTTCTAGTTATAGATAGACACAATACCTTTATTTTATTTCTTAATTTTTATGTGGTGCTGAGGATAGAACCCAGTGCTTCACATGTGCTAGGCAAATGCTGTATCACTGAGCCTACAATCCCAGCCCTGAGGTTTATTTTGAAGGTGATAGAAATGTTCTAAAATTGATTGTGGTAATGCTTATACAACTTTGTGAATATACTAAAAATCATTGAATTGTATGCTTTAAATGGGTTGAACATGTAGTATGTGAATTATATCTCAATAAAGCTGTTATTTAAAAAAGAAAAAAATTATTACTGGAGTCACATTTTTTAATATCATGCTCAGAAATTGGAGATTTACACTATAGATTTTTAAAAAGAACTTTAGAAAGGAATGATGGTGATGAAATAGATTAATCACTCATTGAACGCTTATAGCAAGGCTTGGTATTAAAATAAGGGCTCCATATGTTATTATTATTGTCGATATTATCAGATCTGTTTTAAAGAAATCACTTCAGCTATAATTGTGGAGAATGGAAGAAGGTGGAGTGGGTAAGACTGATGGCAGGACTATTTGGAAGACTTTTGTGAACCAAGCAAGAGTTGATGTAACCAAAAATATAGTATTAGGGATAGGTTTGCAGTGCCATTTCAGGAGAGTGATTTTTTGGTCACACTAGGAGTTTTCTCATGGGCTTAGAATTTATTTTGCTCCCATTTTCTCTGGACAGAAGTGGTACCACAAGAAGCCTGGCAACACGCCATGAAGAGCATGTGCAGAACATCCGCCGATTTCATGAATCCCTACAGCAAGGAGAGGCAATCTTGACAAGTGATGACAAACTGACCACATCGCCTTTGTCCTCCCACACCTCCATTCTGACTTCTCTCAGGTGAGGCACTCTGCTAAGACAAGGCACAAGAAAGCATTGTGATGCACAAAGTGAATGTCAGTGGCACCAGGCAATACCACCATCAGTTACCCCTGAGCTGGGAGATTTAGTAGAGGGCTCTTGTGCATGTTAGTATTGGATTGAACCTTTGGAGCCTCATAGGTATTCCTCATGGATGAATCTCTCAGTTTAGAGCCTCCCACTCCTTTAGAAAAGTAAATGATCTGCATATAAATATAGGAACTTTAGCTTGTTCACCAAAACTTAATAATAACTAGTCTCACATCTGCACAGCCTCACATCCTTTTTAAAGTTTATAAAGCCTCATCCTGCCCATTGTCCTTTTTTTAAATATTCATTTATTTTTTAGTTGTAGTTGGGCACAATATCTTTATTTTATTTATTTATTTTTATGTGTGCTGAAGATCGAACTCAGGGCCTCACATGTGCTAAGCGAGCGCTCTACCACTGAGCCACAACCCCAGCCCCTTTTTTTTTTTAAATATTTTTTTAGTTGTAGTTGGACACAGTACCTTTATTTTATTTATTGTTATGTTGTGCTGAGGATGGAACCCAGCGCCTCAAACGTGCTAGGGGAGTACTCTACCGCTGAGCCACAACCCCAGCCCCCTGCCTACTGTCTTTATCTTCACAATCACTGGTTTCTTCCAGACCAGCTTCTGTTCTGGTAACACTTCCCTATCTCTTTCTTAGTTTAATTAGCATCTGAACCAGAGAATCACTGTGAGAATTGAAAAGGCCATCATAGATCAGCAAGATTGGCCTCAAGGTTATCTAGAGAGAAATGTTTGTAAAGTGGAGGAATTTGGTTTCAGAATTCAATAGACTTGACCTCCAATGCTGGCTCTTCGTTTCCTGGTGGAAGAGTTGAACATTATTGCCTGATAATTTTAATGTGGGGTGATAAGAACTGTAGGTTTCCTGGCCGAGTAGACAGAGGAAGAGCAACATTCTGAGTTAGAGATAGAAAAAATTAAAGTCACATTTGAACTGATCTTTGAAGGAAAAGGTTCTGTGTACCGAAAGAATATTATTATCAAGGCCAGATGCATGAAACAACAAGTCAGGTTTGGGAAGATACCAGCAGTGCAATTAGAAAAGTGTAAGGAGTAGGGCAAGTTCTATGGATGTCAGATCATGAAGGGCCTTGAATATTAACCTAAGTGTTTGACTTTTAGTTATTCTCAATGGAAAGTGCTAGAGAGGGAAGGAGGAGAGTATAAAATTCGAGGGAAAAAAATATTTAAAGTGTTTTATATTTGGAAAAAACTAACTTTTCCTTTAGTTGCACAATGCAAACTCAGAAAAGAAACATCGGCAACTTCTTTTTTGCTTAATGAGATATGTTTAAAAGGATGGAGAATTTGGGCTATAGACTATGGGAAACTGCCTGAACTCATATTACAAAGAAGTAATGTGTTCAGATTCTCATCTCAGATTAGCAAGATGCTGGTGATCAAGGCTATTTAAGTTTAACTATTAATGGTTTGGTTGTACTTTATTGGGTTATTATCCTATTTGGAACCCACTGAAAAAAGAAACTAATTCACCCTAGTGCATTTTCTCTCAACCTCAACACTGTTGATATTTGGGCCAGATGTGTTGTTGTGGCGGCCAGTCCTGTACATTGTAAGATGTTTAGCATTCTTGGCCTATATCTACTACATACCAGTGGTGCCCCTCCCTCAGTTGTGACAAACAAAAATATCTCCAGATGTTGCCAAATGTCCCATGGAGGGCAAAATCACCAGGTTAAAAACCACTGCCGTATATAGTGTTTCCCCAAAATCATTGTATCAGACTCACTTGAAGGCTTATTAAAATAACAAGTGATACAGTTTAAGAGTATGTAGCCATCCAAATTGTCCTGAACCCATTTAGAAAGTCAAGCAAAGCTGGTTAGAAAAGGTCACTTGTTTAAAGGATCAGGAATGGTTATGAGGTAGCAAAGAACATTGTTGGCCTGGAGTAGGGCTTTTATTCTGTCTGACTAGCGGAAGTGAGTACTGGCATGATGGTTAAGAGTAGTTCTTTTTAAAAGGTTGCATTTTGGGGACTGGGGTTATAGCTCAGCTTGCCTCGCACTTGTGAGGTACTGGGTTTGATCCTCCGCACCACATAAAATAAATAAATAAAAGATATTGTGTCCATCTTTTAAAAATATATATCTTTTTAAAAAAAGGTTGCATTTTTCCAGATATCAAAAAACCATATTAACCAGACAGAAAGGGGCAGATTTGTACTTGGCAGCAGAATCATAGTCAGAGGAGTAAAGGATGAATGGTGAGTTAGAGAAGGGAGAGGGATCTATATATTAATGGACCAAGTGGGAGGTATTAAGGTCCTACATCAATGGTACATAAAAGAATCTCATAATCTCCAAGAGTGACCCTTTGTCATATTCTCCTTTTTTTTTTCCCCCCCTTCCAGGAAGAATCTGAGTGAGCTAGATCAGATCCAGAAGTACTTCAGCCAGAAGCTCACCAAACCTTTTCTGCCTCTGAGCCCTCACACTCATACTGCCATCTTGCAGAGCCAGGAGAACCATGGGGACCATATTGGGCCAGAAGCCAGCACCCTAGACCCTGAGAGCCAGTGTATCCTGGAAAAATCCAACAACCTGGTGGTACAAGTCAGCTCCTTAATCTCAGGTATGGCTCAGAGCCTTTCTTATTGAGTTATGGTCACTAGATGCCAATTCAAAAAGCATCTCAGTGTCTGCCCCCTAACAAGTCCCTATGACAAAAGGTTTTATAACTTTTTCTTTTTTTTTTTTTTTTTAAACCATCTTCCTTTTAAAAGAAGGGACATTGTAGTGTGGTATAATATGGCACAGGAACATGGAGCAATGGAAAGAGCATTGAACTGAGAGGCAGGAGACCCAGATCCTTGCGGATTTCTGGAATATACTTGGCTGTTTGACCCTGAGCTTATCCTTTCCTTTTCCCTTCCTTCCCCCCACCCCAGGGGTGCTTTATGCTGAGCTACATCACCAGCCCTTTTTTTTTTTGAGGCAGAGTCTCACTATGTTACTTACTAAATTGCTAAGTTTGGCCTCAAACTTGCTATACTCCTACTTTAGCCTCCTGTATCACTAAGATTATAGGTGTGCATCACCATACCTAGCTCCTTTCCCTTCTTGCTTCAATTTCCCCAAGGGAAAAAAAAAGAGTTCTTAAATTTGTGCCACTCTCTTTTTCAGAAAAGATCAACTACAAGTATGTTTAAAATTCTAATTCTCAGAAGTCTGCATTTTTAACAAGACAAAGTAATTCTAGATTTTGGGAATCCATATTCTATCCTTTAAAAAGCCCCTTAGAGCTCTGTTCTCACATTGGCTGCATATTGGAATTACTGAGTGGGTTTTTAAAAATCCTCCTGTGTACCCCCAGACAAGAGTCTCTTAAGGGTAGAAACCAGGCATTAGCATTGTTTATAACTCCCTAGGTAATTCTAGTGTGCAGCGAAGAATGAGACTGCCCTAAAACAAGAATTTTCCAAACTTGCCTGAGCATAAGAATTAGCTGGAGCTGGCCATTATGGCACACACCTATAATCCCAGTGAGTAGGGAGATTGAGGCAGGAGGATTACAAATATAAGGTCAGCCTCAGCAATTTAGTGAGACCTTCAATAATTTTGCCAGACACTGTCTTCAAAATAAAAAATAAAAATGACTGGGTGGGTAGTTCAGTAGTAGATAGTCCCTGGGCTTAATCCCTAGTACCTCCCCCCAAAATATCATCTGAAACACTTATTTTAAAATACAAATTTCTGGGTCCCAATCTGTTCTACTAAATCAGGATCCAGGGTTAAGACCTAGAAATCTTGCCAGGTACAGTGGTGCACACCTATAATTATAGCAACTCAGGAGGCTGAGACAGGAGGATTGAAAGTTTAAGACCAGCCTCAGCAATTTACAAGACCCTGTCTCAAAATAAAAAATAAAAAGGGTTGGATATCTCAGTGGTAAAGCACCCCTGGGTTAAATCCTTAGTACCTGCCCTCACCTCCCTTAAACAACAACAACAACAAAAAAAAAAACTGGAAATCTTTATCAGGCAAACTTTGGGGAACATTGAGAGATCTTCTAGGTCAGCATCTTTAGCCCTCACTTGGTGTCATTTTGCTCAAGTAAAATATGTAGATTCCAGGCTGGAGAGGTAGCTCAATGGTAAAGCACTTGCCTAGCATGAGTGAAGCCATGGGTTCAATCCCCAATGTTACATGCAAACACATACACAAACACATACACACACACAGACACAGACAGTGCAAATTCCACACAGAGATGAATAAATTCAGTTTTCTCTTCTAAAGGTAGTGAGGGTAAGCATATACCATGATTGATATCAGGTACAAACTTTCTTCCTCTCTACTTCTCCCAAGATGCCTAATATCACTAATCAAGACCCCAGGTATATGCTCCATGCTTGACTTCCACTTGCTTGGATATATTCACTCAACTCCTTATTGATCATCAACTACTCCAGATTCAATTCTATAACTAGTTCAAGTAGGATATGATGGTAGACAAGACAGTTATTGTCTCTGCCTTCATCAAGCTCATATTCTGTAGTCAGCCAGAGAAATTTCCCCCCAAGAAAGAAAGCAGAAGAGCAAAACAAAAGGAAGGCTTGTTTGGGATAGAGAATGGAAGCAATTAGAAGAATCCTTTTAAAGGGTATGTTAAAAGAGGAGACACGAGAATTGTAGGATTGAAACTAGAGGGTCTTGAAGGTAAACTTCTCTCTCTCTCTCTCTCTCTCTCTCTCTCTCTCTCTCTCTCTCTCTCTCTCCAGGGGATTGAATCCCAGGGCCACCTTGTATATTTTTTACTGTAATGTGTGAAATGGGTGGTGTTAATCACCATTTAAGATAAATAGCATAAATAGCTTCAGAGAGGACAATTTACTCATGATTGCAAAGTTAACAAGGGACAGTAAATATTTGAAACCAAGACTGACCAGTTCCAAAGCCTGTGCTCTTTCCAATACCCTGCCACCTTGGTTTTCTCTTATCTTGTGGTTGGTATATATTTTCTTGACTTTATTTTCCACATGAAATAGATAGTTTTAGTAACTGTTGTCAAATAGGTAAATAAGTAGATTCTCATTTTGATTTTTAATATAGGTAATTACTGAAGTAAATGGAAGCATGAACATGCCTGCCAGGACTCCCAGTTCCTGAAAATTCCTGAGCATGAGCAGATAATCCTGAAAACATTTCCACAGATGTATCCACAACTATAAATAGATTAGATTTTGGTCCTCTGATATTAGAATAAAGTACTAGAAATTGTACTGCCTTGAATATAGTTTTACTGACTGTTGGGTGGTTTAACTACTTTAAGGTTTGTTTGAAGTTGATTGAAAGGCTACCTCTGAAGCTAAAGGCCAATGTGGGAACCTTGAATTGTCTGTGGCCCTGCCTTGTAATAAGAGTGATATCTGTTGCTGTTCAGATCTGCAGACTATCACCAGGAATTCTCAAGCAGCTTTGACTTCTCACCGAGCCAGGAGTAGAAGCAGAGAGGTCACCACAGTCCCAGATGCTCAACACATAGAAGCCACACAAGAACAAAGCACAACTCCAAACAAGACATTGGCAAGAGCTGCGGCTGAAGGCACAAATTCCCCATCTCCTCCTGCTCTTGAAGTGACCTCAAATGGAGGAGGAATGTTCCATGAGTCCCTGGGAAATATGGTACCCATTAGAAGTGAGGATACTGAGGCGGACCCACTCTACAGTGATGAGGACTACGAAGAAGACATTATTGAGCCCAGGACCCTAAATGAGATAACCACTGTGACAGACAAAACTAGCCCTTGGTCCAGTTTTATGTCAGACACAAGTGAGGTCATCAGCCCTCAGCCTCATGAGGTACAGAAGGAAGGCCCCTCCTGTCCTTCTCCAGAGCCTTCCCCTAGAGCAGAGGAGATTAAGGTCAGAAGTAGCTTTCTGTCTAGCCCAGAAAAAGCCATCAACTCTCTGCCAAGGCAGGGTTCTTCTACTCAAGGTGTTGCTTATGAAGATAGGGACTCTAAGACAGGGGTTGAACAGTCTAACTTAACCAGCCCTCACCTTTTCCCACATCTGAAGTGCTCAGGAATCCAACAGAGCAATACTTTTGTTGGATGCAGCTCATCACAGGCAAATCAGGACAAGGAGCCTGAGCCAGAGGCCCAGGCTGAGGATGGAGCTGCCTCCAGTGAGCTCAGTGACTCTACTGATAGCTTTGAGAAGTTGTCTGTACACATAGCCTCCCAGAGCAAAAGGGAAGATAAGGAGCCACGCATTCACTGTGCTGACATCAGGCAGAAGCAGGTGACAACTGGATCAGAGGTGTCCACAAAGAAGAGCCTTCTGTATCCTTTGGCATTTCCCACAAGTGGCCCCTTAAGCCATCTCCTAGCATTTTGGATGCTAGCATTAGGCTAGCCAAGAGTGAGTATGAGCAATGGCCTCTCGTAGGATGCACTGGAGGGGCATGGGAAGACCCTTCAGAAGACTGGGATGACAGGTGCTACAAATCTACCATGACACCAGCCCTCCGAAGCATAATTCTTTGAACTGAGTTTAAGTGTTGGTAGCAGCCATAAGCCTGCCTACCTTATTTATCTAATTCATATGTTGGGTATTTTGCCACTCGAAGGCAATGCTCAGGATCTTATTTGAAACAGAACTAGAGGGAGGGACTATGGGTATAGATAAGGATATAGCATTTGCCTAGCATTCATGAGGCCCTGGTTCAATCCCCAGCACAGGGGGAAGGAAAATACAGAAGTAGAAGACGTAGGAAAAAAAAAGGGAAAGAGAGCCTACCATTGTTTGTTTGAGCATATACTATGTGCCAGTCACTTTATAGACATTTCAGGCCTCACAGTTCTTTTGGGTAGGTGTCATCTGTCTTACATGTAAGGAAGCAGGCTCAGAGTTCTAGTGACTTTCCTAAGAGGTAATTTAAAAAAAAAAAAGCAAATAATAGAGCTAAAGTGAAGTGGGCACCATTGAGTTGGACTTGTGTAAGCCCCCAGAATAGATAGCACCTTTGATGGGAACACCTGACATTCCCCCTCCCTCCTTTGAAACAGACCAGCAGGATATAGGGAAAGGAAACTCACTCACTCAGCACCGTCTGCAGCCTTCACATCTGCACCTAACCAGCTGTTCAGATCAGGTCACCTTTGTGTCCTACAACAAATAAGGGATATCACAGGCTAGTTAGATGAAGCAGGACACTTCATTAACTAACGTCTTTGCTAGAAGTCAAGAGGACTGATTTAGTCCTCCTAAACCTAGCATTTTATTACCTGTGTGACTTCAGGTCTAACCTTTCTGAGCCTATTTCTTCTCATGTAAGAGGGAGGCAGTAATCTGTTACCCACCAAACTTTGAGTTCCCCAAATCAGTGACTTTTTCTTTTTCTCTGTTCTCATTACCTTGCATTGCACAGGGGAGGAGAATCAGTAAATACTAATTAAACTGTACTAACATAGTTTCACAAGATTATTGAGGAAATCAAATGGGTAGAGATATTCGTACATATCACACAGATGTAACTTAATACAGTTAGAGAAAAATCTAAGGGTGGGAGAGTAGTCTCAAAGATTTAACATGGGAGGTGGCTGGGACCCGAGGACTCAGGGCAGACTACCTCCTGCTAAGTTTTTTTCCCAGCTTCACTCATCCTGGCTTCTGATACTTCTGCCCTCACAGTTTAGTTGTGTTCCTGATATGGTTATTGGAGGAGTTGCTATGTTTGTCCAGGTCCTCAGGCTGCTTGAATTCAGGCCTTCCTAACTCTCTTTTGCTCTGTTTATTTTTTTCCCAGCACTGGGGATTGGACCCAGGGGTACTGTATCACTGAGCCACATCCCAAGTCCTTTTTTTGTTGTTGTTGTGTTTTGTTTTGATTTTGTTTTTGTTTGGTTTTGTTTGAGACAAGGTCTTGCTAAGCTGTCCAGACTGACCTTGAACTTTTGATCCTTCTGCCTCAGCCTCTTGAGTCACTGAGATATTAAGGTGTGTTTCGCAATACCTGACTCCATTCATTCTTTAGCAAAATAAGTATTGCCAGGCCTGGTGCTAGGTAGTGAGGACAAATTTGAATCAGACCTTACCTCAAGTTCCCATTATCTAGTAGGAGTCAGTTGGGTAAACAGAGTTTATTCATCCAAGTGTTATAGTGAGATGTGGAAGTAAGAGGAGGGAACTGCCACAACTCTGCTTGGAGGTATCCTAGTAGAAGAGAAATGAGAGCTGGCTAGTAAAGATGAATAGGCATTATTAGGCAGAGCCAAGGGAAAGTTCAAGCCAGGGCATTTTGTGTGTGCAGAGGCCTAGCCTGGTGAAAGCCTGACCAGTGGCAGCAGTTTACTGTGTCTGAAACCCAGAGGTAAGTGAGAGGTGAGGCAGAGCCTGGATCTTAGACCAGGCTGAGGTGCTTGAACTCTATCCTGGAAGCAAAAAAAAAAAAAAACAGTTTCCTCATCTGTAAAATGGAGACAAATAATAGTACTTACAGGGTTTTGCAAAAATTAATTTGCCTGGTACATAGTATCTGGTAAATGTTAATTGTTAAGCAAGAGTCTGATATGGTCAGATTTATATATTGGAAAAGTCACTCAATGCCTTATAGATCAGGGAGAACAGCCAAGAAATCTGGGATAACAAGGCATGGAAAGAATCTGACCTAAAGCATAGAGTGCTGTATGAAGAAGAGAACGGGGATAGATTTAAGAGGAACAGAGAGAGGGCAGGGAATGAGGAGGAAAACATGAAGTATGACTCAGAGATTTCTGTCATAAGAAGCAAGGTGTATGTTGTCATTTACTGGATAGAGAACACCACATAAAGAGACCTACTTAGAGAAAGACATAGATTTCCATTTTGGACATGTGCATGTGAGATATTCAGGAAGAGATGCAGCCCTGGAGTTCAGACAGGATCAGGGGGGGCCTCTCCAGAAACTGATGAGGGTAACAGCATGAAAAAGGAGGGCCATGCACAGAGACAGAGTCCCCATGGGTCACCAGTGTATAAAGACAAAGGTACAGCCAAACAGGAGCTGAGCAGAGCTGGGAGCCAGGGCAGGTAAGGTAAAAGCTTCAGGTTGCAGCCCTCAGTCCGAAGAGGGGCCTGGCACACATTCACTGGCTTGAGCAAGGGGACCTTGCAGTGGTGGAAACAGACCAGGCTTCCGTGGGTAAGGGAACTAGTGGGGAAGACAGCCAGAACAGGCATCTTTTCCCCATAAGCTGGGGAGACAAGAATGTTGAGTCCTTGCTGTAAGCACTTGACCTGTGTAAACTCACTTAATCCTCCACAGACTGAGGGCACTATTGTCATATCTATCTTTAAAATGAAGAAATTGAGGCACAAAAAGTGAAATCACCTGAAGTTGTCCACCATAAGTGACAAAGCTGAGTAGTAACTAGAAGGGAACCCGAGATTGGGGGCAAGAGGACAGGGTTGGTTCCTAAGTGGAAAACTTGCATATTTTTATAAACTGAGGAGAAAGAACTTAAAAGTTGGAGGATTTACCTGTTGGTGCAGGACCCTAAGCAGGCAATGGGTAATAGGATGAGGAGTGCTTCTGTGTTCAGACCCAGCCCTGATCCTCCCACAACACTGCTCCTTCCTCACAGCGTGGGCTGTCTAGCTACTGGAGCCCCTGCAGTCAGCAGCAACGAATAGGCTCTGCCTCATCTGCGCTTCCAGAGAAGGCTTGGGTCAAAGTGTTCTTTCCCTTCAGGACCTCCAGTCCACCCCACCTCTCTACAGAAAAATTGAGAACTTGAACCAAAGCTGGACTTGGATACATTTCATTCATTCAGCTAGGCACTGCACTATATGACAGGAATATGGCTATGAAAAAGATAGATCCATCTCTAACCTCTTGGATTTCAGAGTCTAACATGGAAGATCAACAATAAAATAGAAAGTCTGGTAAAAAAATTGGAATCAGAACCATACTTAGCTTATTAGACAGAAACAAGAAATTGGAACATTACCGTCTCCTCAACTGTCCTATAAGTTGAACCAAACTGAATCAGTGCTTTGATTCAGCGGATATTTGAAGAACAAATATTTGTGTCTCAACACAGCACCTTAAGAGGGTACAGACAGAAGTACAGGCTATGGAACCTTCCTACTAGGGTTCACTTCCAAATTGGATGGACCATTGTGGACAGCCTTGTTTCTGAATGTGAGTAGAGAATATCGAGGCAAATAGGCCCTCTTTCAACACCAAGTACCTCCGTCCTGCCCAAGTCCATGGCCCTGGAACCACCTTCCACCCCTTCCCCTATCCAACAGGTCAGCTTTCTTTTTTCCCATATTTTTTTATGGCGAGATTTGATTTTACATATTTGTGCATGCACATAACTAATTTGGCCACTATCATTCCCCAGTATTTCCTCTTTCCCTCCCCTGGCCCCTTTCCTCTACTGAGCTCCCTTCATGAGATTGTCCCACACACACATCCACACACATACTTCTTTTCCTTTTTCCTCTCTAGTTACCACATATGAGAGAAAACTGATAAAAGGTCAACTTTAAACCAGTGGGCCAGCAGCAATTGTCATTCTTCACTTGCCACGTACCAGCTTCATGTGGCACTAAGAAGATACTAAGTTTCCTAAAGGAAATAACTCGCTCCTTGAGAAACATGAGGAATAGTGAGGGAAACAAATTGAGAGTTATCTCATATGTAAGTAATTGAACATTCTTATGTTGCTAACTGTGTTTTGGCTGTTGCGAAGGGCTAAGATTAAGAGAGGGCTTCTTAGAGGAGGCTGCATTTGAACTGATCCATAAAGAAATGTAGACCATGATTTGTTAGGAGTGGGTAGAGTCTTCCGTGAGGGGGAACAACTTGAGCCAAGGATTCAGGGCAGGAGTAAGTTGGGGAATTGGTATGGTTGAGGTCAGTGGAGATGCTGGTGTGGTAAGGTTTATTTTTGTTCCTTAACTACCATTACAGCCCAGAGCCTGTTGTGGTGCCCAACTTCTTTTTGCCTCCCCAGCAGTTGGAGGCCTCCCTGCGGTTGCTCTCACACTCTGCAGCTTTGCCACCACCAGTCACAACAAACGAGGTAAGAGAACAGCCACTTATCTCCCTCTCTGGTAGAGTCATCCTCTCTTCCCTAAAAATGTGCACAGCGTGTGGAGCTGCCTGGAGTCATCTTCCTGGAAAGGCTGCAACATGGTCACTCCTCATGCTTGCATTGAGCCTGTTCTGAGGGCCCAGTAGTGGGCTAGGAACTCAGGAAACATGACGAAGAGCAGATGTATAAGAGCAGGGCATTGTCAGGAAGAGAAAAAATCAGCACAGAAGCATAAAAGCAAGAGTCAGCTAAGAAATGCATACTGATTTCTATGGGAGCTCCAGCTAAGAAAAGGCAGATAGTAGGAGGACACAGTAAACAAAAAATGCATCCTCAGGGGACCAGAGTGAGGTCCCCTGAGGAAAGGAGAAAAGAAATATCAATGAAATACCCATTTGCTGTTTAAAAAACACCCCAAAAACTATCATCAGGTAACTGAGGTAGGTGATTAGAACTCTAGTACAAATCCCAGCTCTCTGCTTTTCTGCCTTGGCAAAGCACCTGACTTTTGTGGCAAAAAAAAATAATAATAACTTCTTTTCTAATCATTCAACAGGTATTTATTGAGTACCCTCAGGCATTATCCTAGGTGGTGAGTTTATAACAGTAAATATATGATAAACTCTCTGTCTTCATGGAGTACACATCATAAAAATAAAATATTTATAGAATGTTATGCATACTAGATGCCACTTTAAGAATATCTAAGGAGGCTCTGGGTAAGGTGAAGGATGACCATCACGGTGGTACACTCAATCCATGTACCAGGCACTGTTCCAAGCACCTCATATTGTTTTTAATTCAGCAGCCTGATAAGCATACTGTTATTGACCCTATAACTAAAGCAAAGGGAGGTTAGTAACTTTTCTGGTCACCCAGATAGTAAGTAGTGGAGCCAAAATTGAAACACAAGCAATCTAGTTTCATAATCTGTGTTCCTGACTACTACACAGAACTTGGAGAAGACATTCCAGGCAGAGAAAACAGTAAATGCAAAAGCCCTAAGGCTGAAAAGAGCTTGACATGATCAAAGCTAGAGACGCTGAAATAATGACATCAAAGGGACCAGATGTGTAAGCCCAGGAAAGGAGTTGAGGCCTTATTCTAAACACAGAGTGTTAAGTACAGGAGAATATCTGACTTAAACTGAATGCAGAATCCATTTTCTTTCCCATCTGACCGCATCCTACTTTTAAAGTAGGATGGTAGTGACAGTAGAAAAAGGAGCCATGAAGTAGTATTGTGTGCCAGGCACGTGTGTGTGTGTGTGTGTGTGTGTGTGTGTGTGTACATATAAAATTTCAGAGATTAATACAAGCTAGTATTAAAAATAAATTAGCTTGGTGGGCTGGGGTTGTGGCTCAGTGGTAGAGTGCTTGCCTAGCATGTGTGGGGCACTGGGTTTGAGTCTCAACACCACATATAAATAAATAAAGGTCCATCAATAACTAATTAAAAAAAAAGAAATCCTGATTAAAAAATAATAATAAATAATTAATAAATTAGCTTGGGGCTGGGGTTGTGGCTCAGTAGCAGAGTACTCTCCTAGCACGTGTGAAGCGCTGGGTTTGATCCTCAGCACCACATAAAAATAAATAAATAAAATAAAGGTATTGTGTCCAACCAATTAAAAAAATATTTTTTAAAAAAAAATCTCATTTAAAAAAAAATAAATAAAAAACAAAAGCTTGGCCAGGCGCAGTGGTGCATGCTTGTAATCCCAGCATCACAGAAGGCTGAGGCAGGAGGATCACAAGGCCCTAAGCAACTCAATGAGACCCTATCTCTAAATAAAAATTTGTTTTAAAAGGCTGTGGATGTGGCTGAGTGGTTAAGTGTCCCTAGGTTCAATCCCTGGTCCCAAATACATACATACATACATACATACATACATACATACATACATAAGCAGGCTTATTCATTGTGATAGTGACCTCTAGTTTACAGATTTTGTAGAAGTGGGCATTATTCTAAGCACTCTGCATGTTCAAACTCATTTAAGTCTCATAACAACCCAATGAGATATGACTATTCCTTATTTAGAAGATAAGGAAACTGAGACTCAGAGCTTCCTATAACCTGCCAGGCATTATTATTTCTACTTTATGTTTTATAAAGAAATTAAGATGAACAAACACTAAGTCACTTGCCAGACTCTGCTCTTTTACACCACTTGAAAATCATGATACTTGATGTATTTTTTTTTAGCCAAAAATGCCTTCTTTTAAATAAATCTCAAAATAAATAGTTAACATTTAGATATGTTATATGTTTTCCCAGAAGCCACAACAGATAAAAGATGGGATCAGTTCAGAAGTGTCCTGAGCCATTATGATTCAGAAGAGAAGCCATTTACTATCTGATCCTTTTACTAGTTTCCTTCCCCCTCTGTCCTCCAACCTTCCCAACACCATTGTTTGTTTGGCACATAGATCACTCTAGTTCCCACATACATTTCAGTTTTTGTCAGTATTGTAAATCCTTTCCTAGGGGAACAGAGATGCCAGTCCCTGCCCAGGAAGCTCTGCACTTTTGTGGTCTTTATTCCTACCTTGGTTTATGGTCACCAGCTCATCTTCTTCCTTTCTAAGTCTCTAAAACAACATCAAAGTAATCATGAGTAGCTAATAGGATGATGACAGGAATTAAGTAGACACATTTAATTCCCTGTCTCTCTTACCCTTCTAGCCAAGTGGGTGAAGTGGCAATAAGGCATGTGCCACAGGAATGGAGGTCTGTGTTCCAGTAGAGCAATCATCTCTCACCTGCCAAGCAGAACTGCTATACCTGCCTTTGTGTTTGTGCCTTTATGATGTGCCTACTCCCAGGGGACGTATGATCTTAGTCTTTGGGAAAAAGGATAACTGGGGATTGAACCCAAGGGCACTCTACTACCAAGCTATATCCCCAGCACTTTATTTTTTTTATTTTGAGACAAGGTCTCACAGCCTCCAAAGTCACTGGGATTACAGACATGTGCCACCACACCTATGATAGTCTTTTTAACATAAGACATAAGATGTGAGAGAGAGATGAAATGTTTCCTTTCAAATAAATGGCAAGTCAAGTTTTGAGAAGATAAGCCTCATGTACTATGTACTCCTTCCCCCCCCACCCCCTGTGGTGCTGGGGATTGAACCCAGGGCCATGCATTTCTTAATCCATTTTTTTTCCTTGCCCAGAGTAAAACTCCACTGCTTGCTGCTCTCAGAGCCACTTCTCTCCCTGAGACCTTATTGTAGGTCCTGATTAGAATAACCAGTATCACCACAGTTTTCCCAGAGCTGTCCCAATTTCAAACTGAAAGACCCCCCACCCAGGAAATCCCAGGAGGCTGATCATGCTTGCTGGTGATGAGTGTCTCTCACTACATGCATTTGTTATAATAGATTTTCTGAGAATCATATGCTCTTGGCTGGCTGACAGGTGTTGCCAAATAATCTAGGAGTCAAACTGAGTGTATGCTGTAGACACTAGTTTGAAAGTTGTCAGAATCAAAATGGGAATTTCTGGGTCAAACCCTAATAATAGTAACAATAGTAAAGCTGGGAGGTGTAAAGGAGGGGATCTTTGATAAACACTGTCATAAAAGATTATATTGGAACCACTACCTTGCATAAAGCCTCTGCAAGGACATCTGTCCAACAACTGTTTATTCAACTATGGTGCCAGTCACCCTTGTTATTGATCCTTAAACACCCTTGGTATTAATCCTTGTGGCCAAGGATTGTTTTTTTCAAAATAACATATGTCGTCCTCATCTTGCCTTTTAGTTTCCCTCTCCCTCATCCCCTGGGTTCTGTGGCACACCTGCTCTGCACTGCAGTGCTCTTGCATATTCCCAGATAAATATCATAGTTCTTTGGTGCTCTCTCTGTTGTTTAATTTGATGCTAGCAAGTAGAGACCAGAAAGTAAGAGAAAAAAAAAAATTTTTTAAGAGAAAGAGAGAGAAGAGAAAGAGAGAATTTTTTTAATATTTATTTTTCAGTTTTCGGTGGACACAACATCTTTATTTATTTTTATGTGGTGCTGAGGATCAAACCCAGCGCCCCACGCATGCCAGGCGAGCGCATTACCGCTTGAGCCACATCCACAGCCCAAGAGAAAATATTTTTAAGAATTAAATTTTTTAAGTACCAAAAATAGTGACTGTGGGATAAGTCAGAGCTTTGATTGACTTCCTTATCCTTATGATTTATTTTAGATTTAATTCTGAATTATTATATTTGTGCAGGGACACTGTAATCTTCTGAGTTTGGAGTCTCTGAAAGTCTTAAAAATGGCCTTACTTGGAAGAATTTAAGACAAAAAATAGTCTTTTATATTTACTCACATATTTGCTGTTTCTAGTATTCTTCATTCAATCTTTGCATCCTGATTTATATCTGGGACCCTTTCTTTCCCTTTAGCCTGAAAAGCTTCTGTTAGAATTTCACATGGTTACCTACTGGTAATTGATTCTCTCAGCTTCCATTGTCTGGAATATCTTTATTTGCCTTCATTTTTTAAAGATATTTTCCCCCATTGAATATAGATTTCAATTTGGATTCTGTTGTGTCTTTTAACATTTTAGAACTGTCATTCATTCCACTTCTGTCGTTTATTATCAATTGCTCTGGTTTTTCCCCAAAAGATCTGGGGAAGACCTAATCCTACACTCCACCTTCAAATGACGCACCTGAGCCCAGGAACCTCCCAGACAGTCTCCACTGCAAGAATTTGTGAAACAGTTTTCTCCCTCGTCTTTCCCACCACAGTGTAGGGATCTGTAAGGGATCTGTGTGACATCAGCCAGGTTTTCCAAAATTTTGGAGTCTGCTGCTTCATCTGTCAGTTGGGGGGATCATGCCTTGCCAGGTGGTGCTGTAGAATAGAAAGTGGTGCTCAGGTAGGGTACTGAGGCCAGCCTTAACCCTCCCATCTCCTCACTGCCTCATCCCCCTGCTGTCTCCTCTTCAGGAAGGAAAGGGAGAGATGGATGGCTGG